GAGTGAGGAATGATTCTCATAACAGTGCTCGAAATAATGACGAGAAAGGTAGTACACTCGCGCCAAAGAACTATGGCCCAAAACTCAAGAATAAGAAGAAATAAGTCGGATAATGACTGAAAGATCACGAAAGTTTCGTGACTGATGGTTTTTGAGTCGCCAAATTCGAATTTGATGTCAAATTGTTCTACATTTTAACACCCTGACCTATTAATTGTGGGCAAGATTATGGCACGCTGCGGCGCGGCGTGCTTGCCAGCTAGAAACGCGCACTGACACCTACAAACCTAAGGGGATACTTCAAGCATTGCGCAATGCGTACTGACGCCTACAAACCTAAGGGGATACCTCAAGCATTGCGCAATGCGTACTGACGCCTAAAAACCTAAGGGGATACTTCAAACATTGCGCAATGCGTACTGACGCCTACAAACCTAAGGGGATACTTCAAGCATTGCGCAATGCGTACTGACGCCTACAAACCTAAGGGGATACTTCAAGCATTGCGCAATGCGTGAGGTAGCCCATTAGGTTTGTAGGCGTCAGTACACGTTTCGCGCTGGCAGCACGCCCGCCCGCCGCCGCTACCGCGGCTCTCCCGGATTTCTTGCGGGGAGAGCTCCCTGGCAAAGAAACTCGTGTATCGTGTAAATTTTTTTTTTAAATTTTTGAGTTTTAATATTACACACGGGTCGTGTGAAGTAATTAGTGAACTCTCAACGCTAGATGAAGTGTAATAATGAAAGGTGGGTCGTGCACCATGCGCGCTGTGGACGGCGCACGGCAGCTCATCAAATTCTCCCCTGTGCTCTGTCGCGCTTCGTTCAATTTTCAACTAAATTTGAAATTTTCGCCATAGTTGAGAGGCGGAAATTTCAAATTTTTCCCCCCTTTCGAAGCTACTTGATCTACTATTCTACAAAAAAAAAAAAAAAAAAACTTGGTACTATTTCCAAAATATGATTACAGTGGGCTAATCTAAGGACAATCACTAACTTGTCGATGACTGCAAATATCTGGGCAATAGGCCCAGACGATTAATTGACAGCACAATCGCGACCTTGCAGGCACATTATACCCTAAGAATCAACACGCAGGGGATTGCATACTTTCCAGATTTGATAAAAAAAAATAATACGCGTTGTATGAGAGAAAAAATTCTGGACCTTCTTGCGAAATTGCCGCACTTTGTCTGTACGTTCGGACCGCACTTGAAAAATCAGTACTAATTCCGGACTTCCCGACAATTCCGGTCTAGTAATCACCCTGAACTTAAGTTAAGAGTTCTGCCGTAATGGCAAAGAGAGCAGTAAATGAATTTCTGTACGAGCCTTGGTTAGCACATGCTCCTATGGGTCTCGAGGTTCATTCCAACATGCACTTATTGCTCTTCTCGCTATCACGGCAGAGTTGTAAGACCAAAGTTTATCAGACTAAGGCTGACAAAATAAAACACGAAAGTGAATCAGGCAACATGAATGTAAGTTGGGCTGTCTCTCATCGAATCCTTGTGAACGTGTGTCGAAATTGCATAACTCATCGAATTGAAGGCGTTAGGTAAACATGCCACAGTGACGCGGGAGCCACAATAAGTCAGGGAGACTCGGCGCGCCGCCGGAAGAAAGCTATCCCTTCACCGGAGCGATTTGACCGCGGAAAAGCGGGATTGGGGAGGGAGGGGAGCGGGGGGGGGTCGGGCAGATCACGAGGGGTAAGAAAACCTGGGCGAGAAAGATAAGCTTTTCCGGTAGACCCTTTTTGTGGGCTAGTCCCTCCGTCGATCCTCCGGGCGCGTCTTTGTTTTGTTAAGGGCCGTTATTTACATTCGGTCCCTCCGTTTTGCGGCTGGCAGTGCTTGTTGCGCGCGTTCCGGCCGTGTTTTTTGGTCGGCTTTTCGGTCGGGTAAACAATCGCGGATGCGCCCGGCGGGTAGGCAACATCTGAACACGTTCCTTTGAACGTTCATCTTCATGCGCCTTGTCGATATGCAACGTCTAGACGACCCTAGCTCACCATGTGAGTTTGTCCAGGGCTTCCGTTCCATGTTCCATTATTCCAATTTCTCCCACTACATGACCGTCAAAAGTTCACTGGGGAAAAAAACACATTGGATCTAGAGTCCAGGCTCTTAAAAACATCGACAAGAAAAATGTACTCTTGATTCAATCGGATTTTTGCTTAAATCAAGAACCAAGCCTCTTAATTTGAGCGGATTTCCTTTTGATTTAAGCAAAAATCTGATTGAATCAAGAGTATTTTTTCTTGTCGATGTTTTCAAGAGTCTGGATTCTAGATCCAATGTGTTTTTTCCCCCAGTGTTCCGAGATTCTTTTCAGACTTTTTCAAAAGTTCCGAAATTCTTTTTAGACTATTCAAGAAGTTCCGGGCCGGCGAAGTTGGCCTAGCGGTCAGCGCGTCTGACTCTAGACCAATAGGTACCGGGTTCGAATCCTGGCGATGGCGACGAATTTTCACGGAACTGACGAGTGGATCTGCAGAAACAGATTCTACTCGACCTTAATCCCTGAAAATTTGAAAGTCGGAGCATGGATGTGCCAAAATCCCTTTGATGTCTACTGACAATAAAATAATCTCTATGTTAAAACACTTTATGTCTGCAGAGGCTGTAGATTAAATAAAAACAGAAATAGAAGCCAAATAAACTGGGGCAAAAAAATTCCGGGATTCTTTTTAGACTTTTTCGAAAGTTCTGGGATTCATTTTAGACTATTTCAAAAGTTCCGGGAAAGTCCTGGAAAATGCAAAAGATCTGGACCACTTCGGAATTTCAGTAATTCCGGGGAAAAATTCAGGAAAATCTCGAAGGTTCCGAAATTCGACGCTATTTACAGGAATTGGGAGCACTGATTTTGTCGATCCTGTTTCAGTCTGACGCCATACTAACACTGGCACGTGCAAGAGCTCCATTCTCAGTCAGAAAACGCCGCTAAGGATGCGCAAAACGCCTAGACCTCGAGCTTTAACCCGAAGTTCGGGTCCCGAACTCATGACAGGGAGCGGCTTTCATCTTCGGCCCGGTATTTGCCTCTGGAAAAGCTCTGTCTCCGAGCACAAGGGCAGGTGAATTCTCTATTTCGTCTCGTCAACTCACAAAGGAAGAAGCTCACGAATCAAATAGAGCCCTCGTTTAGGGCTTAAAAGGGAGAATGTTGTTAAGAGGCGGCAGTTTATCACTGCCGTCCTAAGGAAGAACGCCGTATGAGCATTTGAGAGTTGCCAAATTTCCTTCGATAAAATGTTCATTTTTGAGGAAAGTTATGAATTTTTTTCATTTAAAATTTCAGGACTCTTCGGTGGAATTTCGAGCAAAATAATCTGAAAAATTTGAGAACAAATATTCCCAAGTTTACCGGGAAATTCGTATTTTATCAAAGGCAATTTGGCAACGCCTAAATGTTTATACAGCGTTCTTCCTTAGTACGGAATATCAAACCGAGAGACAAACGGGGGAAGACGTTTCACTTTCGATACGTTCCATGCATCCTTTATCAAGATTACCCGCAAGCTGTGGCATCTCTAGCCAATCTGCGCTTCACTTATTTACCCGTCTCGCTGCCAAATTTTGAGGGGGTGGGGTAGACCTAGATTCTGGCCCCTAGTAATTCAGTCAACTTTGATTTCCCTTTCCATAGGATCTGCTGGGTATTTTTTCGACAAATTTTGTTTGTTAGATTTTAGAGAGTCTCTAGATCAATTAGAAGTTGTTTCGAAATTCGAAAAAAAATTGAAGATTATGCCTTTTTTAGATTTTGGTTCAAACTTATCAGAAAATTTCGACTCGAAAACACCCGAAAATGTGGTGAATCAAAATTTTTGAAAGATCCCGTGTTAAAGTGCGGAGGGAACTAACCGGAATCATTGAAAAATTCAAAAAGACCATGATGGATCCTGAAAAACGGGACATTTTATGTAAAAAAAGTGGTTTGCGGAAAATCAGAGCTTCGCAAAATGAGTAAAAAAATCAAAACACATGAAAAAAAGTTGGTGCGGTGCCTAGACCTCCCCCACTTTGAAAACCCCCTCCCCCTCCCATCTGTCCTACTTATCAGAATTTCAAAAACTTGGTCTTATTTTACTCGACAGAGAATGCAGTGCAAGAATTGTCAATAATCGAAAAAATTCAACTTTTCCCCCTTCTCTACCCATTAAAAAGATTCCTAGACTTTAACTAGCTCATGTCTGCGAATAAAATTCTTAGAAAAATTGCAAGGAAAAAACTTTTTCCTTGTTTCGAGAAAATTTTTGCTTTATTGGGGGGGAAATTTGGCGACGCTCAAGTGTTAATACACCTACGTTGTTCCCTGGCATGGCATTGTCAAGAGGTCCGGCAACAGAGGCCCAGATTNGGGGGGGGGGGGGGGGGGGGGGCGCTTCTGTCGGAATGAAATTTACTCGAAAAATCCCTCTTGCGTCTCATGCCTCGGCATTGCCACAGAATTTAGAAAATAAAATTCCCTGACATTTCCCTGATTTCCCTGACACATATTGGTGAAATTCCTTGACAATTGCAGATGTGACGGATGGTTAAGAAGTCATAATTGAAAATAGTTTTTAGGCAAAATTTCTTGTTCAAAATCTGAAACCCATTCTAGAAAGCAAATGAAGGTGATTTAACAAATTTTCCCTGACATTTTCGTCATTATCCTTGACATTTCCGGTTTTCCCTGGCTTTTTTAAATTCCCTGACATTTCCCAGTTTTTCCGGTTTTCCCTGACTGTGGCAACCCTGTGGTACTCACTTAAAATTAAGAGAATGTCATTTCACTTCCCCCTCAAAGCAAGAGTACTGAACTGCTTGTTTCCGTGCGTAAAGGGGTATTGCGTGTCACGTTGACGCATCGCAGACTCTGAAACATCTTCAACGAGAGCTGACGTCGACTCGTCATAGGACTAGCTCGTAAAAATCAGGATGCGACTTTTATGGGGGAAAATCGATTAATACCTGCGACGCTCTGTTCTCAATTCAGTGATAATGACCGTGAAACCGGTTCCCCTCTCGTCCGCTTCTGAGCTTGGTTCTCTACTCGTACAACCAATCAACGTCAGCAAACCTCAAAATCCGCCCTTTCCCCGCGTCACCTCACAACCGGCAACAATGTGTGAAATTAATTTAATTGATTAATTCCATTAATTTTTTCATAAATTTGATAACGAAGATAGTTATTTCCTGACCAACTACATCTCCGAAAGAATCATGGTCTTGGGCTTAAGCTATTAATCGCGAGCTCAGAGAAACCACTTTTTTATTGACACTTTTATCGATTTGTGCCGTGTCTGTGTTAGTGTTTGCGTGTCGGATAATACTCGAAATGAATAATTTTGGAATAATTTTGGTGACTTGTTTTGTGGCTTTTAACATTGAGAGCAACCATTGTCAGGACTACGGAGGCTCGTACTTTGTATCCGATGAGTTTATACGGCAATTAAATGATGAACAGACTGATTGGAAGGTAACTGTGAGGATATGTTTCCCCATCCCTCATTTATTATTTAAAGACAAGAAACAAAACGATGTTATAATTTCAGGGAAACGTTTCGAACATGATTCTGGGCCTCTTTCAGAATTCTATTGATAAAGTCAAAAAGATAAACAAACAGAAACAACAATGAGCTAATTTGGGAATACCGTGCGGAAAACGCAAAGACAAATACATATCCACCCTGGTAAAAATTGGCGATAAGAGCTGAGTTTCAAAATACCATAGGAATTCTTATAGCCGGCTAAAGAAGGCTACAGAAAATAATATAGCTGGCTGTAGAATGCGGGGAAATCATACGGCCGGGCTATACGAGCCGATTAAAAATTATGCAGCTGGGCTATAGTTCCTATCGCCGGGCTTTACACTTTATCGCCTGGCTGCTGCTTTTTCGCCATCAATTATAAAAGGTTATAAAAAATTGTGTAGAAATTCGTGTGCTTTGGAAATCACTCAGTTTGATACGGAGCCACCTTAATATTTACAAAACACACGTTATATTTTCCTTTACTACATATTTTTTTTCATCAATTAAAATGAGAATAATCCATACAGAGTGTGCAAACATTTCAAAGTCATGAGTTGAAAAACGCTGACTCCGCGATATTAAATAGGCGCACCGGCGCCTACAAACCTAACAGGGATACTTCACGCATTGCGCAATGCGTGAAGTATCCCTGTTAGGTTTGTAGGCGCCAATGCGCGTTCAGCGCTGGCTGCCCGCCCCCGCGCTTGAAGCAACTATTTCACACCAGAGGTATTGCACAGTATCATACGAAATTGAAGGCGCTCCAACATATTAGGAATGGCAAGCATCCTTCAAAAGTACGGAGCTTTCCTCGCAAATTAAATCAAGATACTGCGGCCCAAAAAGAGAGCGGTAGTCCAAAAACTCACTAAGCCTTAGCATCCGTAATGAGTAAAGTTTAGCATACACTTCATCGCCAGGCTGTTGCTTAATCGCCATCGGCTATAAAAGGCTATAAGAAATTGTGTTGCCGGCTATAGAGGCTATTGGAAATCTTACAGACGGCTGTAGGTCTATGGTATTTTGGAACACAGATTCTGCTGCCAATTTTTACCAGGGCAGTAATTATGACAACAGAACTTTAAATTGAAAAATGAATCAGCTATATCGTAGAAGTGATATTGGTGAAGAAATAAAGCTCGAATAGCCTCAGTTTAAATATACTCATATCCATACGTACATCTACAGGTAAACGATGACCATAGTCAATGCTCATGCTGGTTCGTTATGTCAGAACTATACGCTAGAAGGAACTATGTGCATGCGGTTTGCGTGCAACATAGTTCCTTTTAGCATAAATACGTTTGTTTATACACTAAATGAACAACAAAACAACGTATTCAACACACTGTACGGCGGCCGTGTCCCTTAAATTTTGTTCGGAATGCATTACAAATCATCAAAAATGTTGATGATGAAAAAGTAATTACTGTGGCTTATCGACAAAACTTTGAACTTTAAAAAAATAGACCAAAATACGTCCTTGGCAATTCTCACAAGTTCACAATACTGTTTCCCCTCCATTTAAATCGATTGAAAATGTTCGATTAAAGGTGAGTTAGCCTGTCTTGATAGGCGTGTACTGTTAATACGTGTAGATGTACTGTGATAAACATGTAAGTAGAAAAGACCCCATATTACCAACTTGCAATAATCCTCAGTGATGTTATATTTCGGCCAATACAATTTTGATTACCTGAAACAGACAATAATATTTGTGATTAGAGCTCAATTTATAACTCAAACTGTTCATCAAAGAGTAGTTTTTGCAAAATAAGCAAAATAATAATGCTCTCATGACAGGAACCGCATGTACCGTGTACAAAGCAAACTCGGGTAGACAAACAAAGGCGTGCTCTGTGCACTGATTATTGTGACAAAATTATTGTGGGATTCGGCTACTTATAATGAAAGAATTGACTAATATTGAGCTTTTAGTAGATAAACATTCTCTTGCAAAAGTTTTTTGCATGGTCTGAGTTTACATACAATTAAAGAGAAAATCGGCTAAAAGCTCAATTTTGATTCTTCCTGATTATTGTTTTGTGGAATCACTAAGCATTCATCACAACACGCTAATTTGGGGAGAGCGGGTCCAAACTGAGCGTTGGTAGTTTCTAGGAGGGTTCAAACCAACGAAGTTACAGGTGCGTTATGAGGNTAAGGGGGGGGGGGGTGTTAAACAATCTGATTTTCAGTGTTAAGTATTTCAAGAACAGACACGATCTACGAACTGGAAACTTCATGCCACCATCTTCGGTAAAGGTTGACTTTCTTGGGCTGGTTTTCCATTCCAAAATTATCTTAGAAAACTATTGTATACCCTGATCTCAATCACTTAATTTTGTGTTTTTGTGGACATAGGTCTCTTATCTGGACGAGTTTATGCTAAAAGAAACTATGTTGCGCGCAATCTCTATACAAATAGTTCCTTTTGGCATAAACACGTAAATCGTGCACGATTACAAATAAGGGACTTGAGAGGACAAAGCTCATAAGTGCAGTTTTTGAAAAAATTGAGATATTAATTAATGATTCAAGTACAACTAGTCTTAATGCATATTTAATGAAACATTTGCTCTCAAAAGCTTGCTTTATTTAAATTTTTATTGGTAAGATTGTTTAAATTTTAAAAATTTTACTTATTTACAATTTGGCTTACTTATATCTTTTTAATCAATAAAATATATTTAAATATAAAGCATCAAAAAGTCAGTTTGAATTTTCTTTCCGCCATATAGATCCATGTAATTTCGAAAGTTCAAACATGTATTTCTCGAAGTAGCGAAAACTGCATTTTTGCGCCTTGACCTCCAAGCCCTTCGAATGATTTCATTCCGGATTTATCATTTCAGGCCGGGAGAAATTTTGGACCGTGGGTGACATCGGCTGCAATCGATAGTTTGTTTGGCGGAAATAACCATCTCTCGAGGAGCATGGGGCTTTTCAACTTGATCTTCGATATCCCGAGTCAAATTTACACCGAGTTGAAGCAGTCGTTTTTGACTTCGATGCCCGATGAGTTCGATGGCCGCAAGGAGTGGGCCGTTGTGTGCAGAGCTCGCGTGTCAGAGGTTGTCGACACCGGTCTTTGCTCTGCCAGCTGGGTTAGTATTGCTTACCCAAAAGTTTAGTGATGCCTTATCCAGAGACAAGAGGTCCTCCACTAGTATCTTGGTCATGGTGGAAGCTTTTACTTTCGGGACTTCAGCATTCTACTGTTGACTTACCTACATGGTTGATGTTTAACAACGTGTTGGCAGTTTCGTTTCGCAAACAAGCCGAAAATGGCCGAAGTTTAGGAAACTTGTTTGGCTCATGACGTCACCCGAAGCTCATCATCGACCATGTAGGTAAGTCAACAGCCGAAAATAGGGCGATGACTGTTGCTCCCTAATAATTGTCCATAAGGAATTGTTGAAACCCCGAAAGTAAAAGCTTCCACCTGTCGCTAGGAGGCCAGTGGAGGGTCTCTTGTCTCTGGCCTTATCACAAACGTGTTGAATTACCGATAGCTTGGTTTCTTCTTCTACAATCAGTAATTTTAAGCGCTCAGCCGATAGGGAGCGCTTTTTGATTTCAACCTGTTTCTATTCTAGTATAATAGTAATAGTATACTAGTCTAGTACTAGTCTAGTATACTAGTCTAGTACTAGTCTAGTATACTTCAATTCTAGTATACTAGTGGCAATTTGCGTTCAAATGATGCACCACCTCAACAACAAGATGGTGGAGAGGGGCCCAACATACGTGGAATAGATTAATCTGTGATACTTTTTTTTAATGCGTCTGTGATGAATACCACAATGATCGTTTTTCTATAATTTATTCTTTTAGCGGTAGTGCGGTTTTCTCAAAATCGATATTGGAAATTTCGATGAGCGAGTTCTTTCACCTCAACTGTGCTCATCATCTTTGGGGAACCTAAGGACCTACATAGAAAACAGTTTAGCGCTTCTCTACTACAAATGTATCAGAGCTTCCCCGCTTACTTTTGTTTTCTTCTTATACGCACACTCTTATACTGTTAAACATGTTAGTCCTTTGTGTTGTTCGTCTTGCTAGTGGTCCGATCTTTTCATTCAAAGGTAGGTGTTACGATATACATAGTATACACAACGAACACTTACGTAGTATGTTATGAAAACTAATTGCAGGGTTCATTGAGCCCCGATCGTCTTGTGTTCAAATAAACAAAGGTAAAGTTTCACGATACACCCATGGATTTTGAAAACCCTGATATAAGTGATGGCCCGTAATTAGACCGGAGTATTTGTTCAAATGGACGTATCCCTGCTAAACGGAACCAGAGACAGTGGGAAAGATTAGTGCCTTTAGAAGATTGACGTATACTCGTAAAAACGGACCAAGCATTCGACCTAGAAAAACACGACCGCCAGAGAGTATACATAAAGAAGATTCTTTAATTTTTTCCTCGTTGACCTTTATTTTTATTTGTAGGCTCTTTCAGTGGCGCAAGCAATACATGACCGCTATTGCATTTACTATTTGCGGGATGACCGAACTTTCTCAGCAAAGCAATTGCTCGACTGCTGCCCAAATTGCGGAAACTGGGGCTGCAAAGGCGGGTAAGTAAGTATGGACAGAGAAAAGGTGTGGGCGTAGAAAAAAATACGCTATGAATCCTCTGGAATAAAAAACCTGTAGCTATCCTAGAATATTTTCATCTTATAGAATTAAATCCTAGAATTAAACAGAATATCTTTGAAAATCGGTAATTGCAAGGGGTGAAAATAATTTATAGGTACAAACAAAATAATTACCTCTACAAAAAACAGTAAACATACGAAAAAAATAAAATCGTTATTTTGACAAACCTAAAGATATAACTTGCTTTAAAATTTTCAAAACATGCAAAACTTTTTATTTTTTACTTCTCATTTTTATGGAGGCTAATCGTTGTAAGCCCTTGCGAGGGTTTATTTTCAAAGGTACACGTTGAATTTTAATCGCAAGACTCGTTGAAATTGTTCTTTCTATGATATTATGTTTGGGACCTCTCGAAACCTCCTTGAATCACAATGTAAGCCACATCGAAGGTGAAACTGCAAAAACGAATACCTCGGTTTGCAGCATTGCAGACAACTTGTGATAGTTTATATTCTAGAAAGAGAACCACTCAACGTCATTTCTTGAAAAAATGGGTATATTTTCATCTCTTTGTAAGGATATCCCATGAAAAATTCAAGCCATGATGTTTCAATCCAGTCAAATTAGCCCTAAAAAAGGCAATCTGAGAAAATCAATACATAGGAGATTTCTTTGCGGAAACATGTTACAATCGGCCACCAGAACATCATTTCAAAAGTTTACCGGAATCGGCTGTCTGCTAAGGCCACCATCTTGAAAAAAGGCGGGCTGAAGATTGGTCGGATAATGGTGAAGACCACGGTAGGTCCGGTACCGAGATATTATGAATTTTCAACGATTAAAGCACGCAGCACGCACAGAGTAGTGAACGCGCAATGCGTGAAGTATTCTTACAGTCTTGTAGGCGCTAATATGCTGTTCATGCTGACCAGCGACCGCACTGTATTTGGCGCCGCGCCGGGTCACTCTTTCGATACATAATCGATTGTTTTCGATACACGGGGTCATCTGATGTAAACAAAGAGGATAGGAATCACTACATATTCCATTTTCAGGGAGTCTAGTATTTTTTTAATTTTGAAAAATCCTGATATTTTCCTGATATTTCGTAAAAAATTTGTGATTTTTTCATTTTGAAAATTCCTGATATTTTCCTGATTTTGATGAGGCCTTCACTATACGAAACAAGCGCTACGGGAGAGAAATTTTCGGAAACAAAGACGGCGCAACGACTCCTGGCACGGTAGGCAAAAAGCAGTAAGACTTCTCCGCTGAGGAGATTTGCGTAAGAAAAATTCCTGATAAAACGTCCAATTTTTCCGATTTTCCTGATATTTTCCTCACCGGCTAAAATTCCTGATATTTTCCGGTTATTCCGTTTTTTCCTGATGCTAGACACCCTGAGTTTGGATCGAAAATGTATCGAAAAAGTGACTCTGCGCACATCGGGCTCGGATAGCTCGTCGGCCAGAACGTGGCGCCAGCTCTCCCACTTACATTGCGACTCTATGTGCTCTATGGGGTTAATGGATGAATGTTGCAGGAACCAGGGACAAGCGTACGAGTATTTGCTGAAATACGGGTTGCCGACCGGGAGCAACATCCCTGGGGAGAACATCGGGTGCAAGCCGTGGAGCCTGGACTCCATGCGATGCTTGACGTCACGAATGGCGCCTCCGGGGCTGGGCACCGGCCAGTGCGACTACTCCGACACGGATACCTGCCGCCAGGACAAGTGTACCAACGAGGTCTTCGTCGATAGAGATCGCCAGGCCACCAACGAGCTCTTCAAAAGTACGTGGCTACACTGACCAAGAAAAAAAATGACATAAACAAAATTTTAAAAAAATACCTAAAACATAAAAAAAATTAAAAAAATTTAAAAAAATAAAAATAAATAAAAATAAAAAACTCCAAACAAAGTCCCAAGGATCGGTGGGCTAGTTTTCCCACAGGCGAATCCAGGGGGGGGGGGGCGTTTGCCCGAAAAAATGAAGGGAAAAAACGAGTAGGAAGAGAGAAAGAGGGAAGGAACGGAAGAGAGAAGAAGGGAGGACGCTTATATTTGGTAATTATTCATAACAATATCTGTTCTAACCGCATTTTAGATGCTTTGAAATTTCAAAAATCTTCTAGGGGATGCCCCCAGACCCCCCTTACGCCCCCCGTTCAAACTCTCTGGGTCCGGCCATGAGTTGCCCTGGTTATAGTATCATGTGTTGATGGTTTAAGCTTGGGCTCCACGGGATGTTTCATGAGATTTGTCCCAGGGAAAAAGCTCACTTGCGAAGTTGGGAAAAATATTGAGTTAGTCGATATTGAACACATTATAAAAAAGAGTCCTTGTTGAGTCCTAAGAGCGACTCGGAGAGAAAAGAAAATTATTTTGTTCTGTTTAACGGGGAAGAAACGAAGGAGTTTAATTCCTGGGATTCAGCTTGGGACCAATTCCATGAAGCGTCCCATGGAGACAAGGCCTTGCCTTATTGGACTTTTGATTGTTCCAAAAGAAAATGTTTCTCCGTGAAACGCTGTATGTTGTTGAGCTTCTTCAGATAGTAGCAATTTAATCTTGGAAGGAAAGTTCAGAATACTTTTTCCTTCTAATTTTGAGGCACACCAAATAAATCGCACAGAATATTCCTTGAAGAATTAAAAAAAATATTGCCACAAAGTTTCCGGAAAGTTTGGGATATATCAAAAGAAAGTACCGTCCGTGCGTTCATAAAATATGAGGTTTCTCTTTGGCACAACCGCATAGTGGTCGTGCTATTCGTTTCTTGCTATAGTTGAGGCTGTAATGTTTCTTAGGCAAATCCAATTCTAACTGATTCATTGTTGGCTATCTTAGACTTCGTTCAGTTCTGAGGAACCAAAAACGAACAAAAAATGACCGAAATTGCGTGGGCAAAATACAAATACGCAGAATATTATGTTTTATCTATACAAATATTTATCAGCATGAATTTGACTCAAATTACAAAGTTCATTTTTCCCTCAGTTTTCCAAAGCAACTTTGTAAATTACATTCGAGAAAATACTTTAAATTCTTCTTATCTTTCAACAGTTGAGGCTTTCTGGAAAAACTGTCCTAAGATGGCTTTCTTCTTCGAGAGCGACGACAACATCATGCGAGAAATCTACACATACGGTAGTATCACTGCTCAGGTGACGGTCTTCAGCGATTTCCTCAACTATAAGCGTGGTAAGCATCAGAAAATTAGACATCTAATGCATCAAAAATTGCGGGGAAAGCATGATAAACCTCTAAAATATATTAAATACGTAATGAATGCCTATCGATTTATCAATTTTGTTTATTTAATGCTCAAAATATTCTCTCTCGACTTATAATTCTTGACGGGAGAAAATTTACGCACGGCTGATCAAATTCAAAACTACTTCTAACTCATCCCCCGAAATGCTACTTGGTACATTTCTGTTAAACTCGGCCCATTTGTGTACCTTTGTGTAGGTAAATATCAGTCGCTGTGAAAGGGCTCGTAATCGACACTTTTTACTCATTTTGAGCCTACCTTTACAGGTGTCTACCACCCGACGAGCAAAGCGGTGTTACTGGGCGACTTGGTGTTACGGATCGTTGGCTGGGGCACCGAAGGAGGAGTCAACTATTGGTTGGCGGCTGGAGTTTGGGGCCCAAGATGGGGTGACGCCGGATTCGTCAAACTCAGGAGAAGAGACAAAAAGCTCAACATGGAGGACAGGATGTATGTGGGCCGAATAGGGGGCCTCAAATGTTACGGTAAAGTGTAATTTGGTGGTCTTCCGATCTGTGATAGATATTGTTGCGACGAGTATACTTGCTAAAACCGAGTTTCATCAAATACATTTCGTTTAAGAAGAAAAATAGGTGTATTATTTTGCTGAGAGTGAGTCTCAAATGCTGCCATATTAAAGAAAAACGCCTTGTGAACATTCGAGAGTCACCGAATTTCTACCGATAAAATATTTATCTTTGACGGGAGTAAGTTATGAATGTTTCCTCTTAAAAACTTTAAAAATTTAGATCCGATCACGAATGAAATTCTCTCAAAATTAGGAGGGAAGTATTCTCAGGTTCATCTAAAAATCCATATTTTATCAATCGAAAGGCAACGTCTGAGGGCTCATACGGTATCGTGTGTTACAGAGTCTGCATTAGATAGTTGAGTCTTCACGATAGGAAATGGTAAAATCGACCTCTATCTGAGACGTCTACACGTCTGATATTAACAAAATTGTCTCTTTTAAAAATGAGAAAGAAATACTAGCGATTTTTGTAAGTTGGCAAGACTGTTTTTTTTTTTTAAAAAAAAATCTACCTATTATAAATGATGAATTTTAGTAAAGATAGTCTCTGGCAATAAATTTCAATTGTTACAAAACTGGACTACACTGCGCAAATTTTTTTCACTTCTTGTATAAACAATTATACATTTTTTCATAAGTCATTATATTTGTTTTGTAGATTGGTGTTTTGATGGAAGACCCAGAAAACTAGCGAAATAGTTTCATTTTTGAATTTACCTCACTCAATTATTCATCTTGTACATTTTCGAAAGTTCCTTCAGATTGAAACTAATAAGTGTTTCATTCTTGTATTTATGTCATTCTCATTCTAAATACACCAGGAGGAACATTTCCTACTTATACTAGAAATTCCTGTTCTATTTACGGAAAATTTTGAACTCCTGTCATTGACCTTTATTCATTGTATCACTGTATCAATGACTACACACATAAGACAAACCCGTCTGAATGCACAAAGTTCATTGAGAAATGAGAGGACAACGACATTACTTTTTTCTTCGTTAGTGTACAAAAAAATGACGTCAGTTCGCGTCATTCTAAACGTCACGCGCGTATAAAAGTGATACGCATGAATGGCATTCGTAATAAATTTTGGGTGATCCCCGAAGAATTTCTGCTGCAAAGAGTGGGGCGATCGATCAATAAAAAGGTTTTAGAACGCTGTAAAACACTGACCGGATAATACAAGACGGCACCATTAATCAGTCAAAAAATCTTGCGCTTATCGGACGCTGAGGATAGCAGTCAATGAGATGATACAGTCTGCATAAACATGCTGATAACCTACGAATTGACGATCCAAGAAATAACGTGACAGTGAATTATAAGTGGATATTTGTGGAATATGTTACACGCAATGGATACCTTGAATGCAGGTATGACATTTGAATTTTTTTTCAAGTACAAGCTTCAGGATTTTCGAGTGACTTTTTCATTGGCTTCATTAAAAACGTAAACCTTGGAAAAATAGCAAATTTTCAAAACGGAGACAATTTTGGCCACTAGGACAACCAGTGGTGATTTTGCAAGTTGGCAACTTGGTCTACCCTCCATTTAGATCCATTAAAAATATCGATTTCAGGTGAGGCAAGCTGCAATACCTTAAATCGATTGTTTTATATGTATTTAAATGGTGGAAAATCAATGTTGTTAACTTTCATGAGTCGCCACTGAGGACAGCTTTTAGTGCGAAACCATACCAAATGGACGTATTTCTATCAAACGGAACTAGGTGCATCACACTGAGAAAAAACTATGGCTTATAAACCTATTAGAGGTAAATATGGAACACCACTAATAGTAGTACCTCTACATATAATAATAGCACATATACCTTAGTTATGGTCTCTGTACCTTAATTAGGTACAGAGACCTTAGTATGGTTCACAGACCGAGAATCATTAGTTTATTTACGACTATTATAGGTGTTCCATATTTACCACTAATAGGTTTATAAACCATAGCTTTTTCTCAGTGCAAGACATGAGCCCTGAGATCCATAAGAATACACGCATAACAGGGCTCACGTCATAATGCACATAGTTCCGTTTGGCAGAAATACGTCCAAATAAGAATGCAGGAACTACTTCGCAATGTTGTCACAATTATGTTCAAATAGAAGGGCCTTAAAATTAATGACAACATAACTTCGAAAATTCTGATGATTGATAGAGTTTGGAGTCTAAATTCTAAACAGAATTTGGTCTCCATTTTCCTCTAATAATTAGGAAAAATTTCGAAATCATACGTAGCAGCTTTACGATGTTGATTATATTATCTATTTCTCTCGTTTTCGAATGCAGTTTGACTTCAGTTCTGGGTGTATTTGCATTTGAGTATCGTAAAAACGATTAATTTCAAACTTATCATCATGGCCGTTTGATACAGCCTTATGACAAGCGAGTGCTTCAATGTGTGAAAGCAAGCAGAAGGAAACAAATCCTTAAAATTCCTTACACATACTTTTTAACATAACTTACAAATGTAAATATCTCCAATCACAGATCTAAGATCTACTCCCCTACAATCAACAGAAATACAAACCCACTTGCATGCGATGAACCAAATATTACTACCAAAATTCTGAAACTCTTCACCTCTCTTAATTTAAAAATCTAAATTTTCGTATACACTCCCTTTTTCAAAATTTTCTGTAAAGACGTTAATAGCCTGTGACGCTGAATGTCTCAAAATATACTAACTAATTCACATATTACAAACATCATGGTCAGATCAAATCAACTTAGAAAATTTTATTAGGGTTAATCTTGAAAGCCGGTTCTTTCATTTTGGTGATAAAAGGCTTGTTTAACTGAGAATCTAATACTAGACCACTTAGATTTGCGCTAGACACAAAAATAAATCATTTTGATGATAATAAATTGTTTACTGTCTCTATTAAAATATAGCAAAATTGAGAACAACTTCGTATTACTGATGTGTCAATTTTTTTTAACAGTTACTTAACTGCCTAAAAGAAAATAGAATGTTCATATTTTATTCTTTTACTCAATGTATACATATTTGTGTGAATTAATGTCGTGTAAATCACAATAAAAAATTGGACACAATGAAAAAAAAACTGCGCTTTACCAGACGTTTCAATGTTAACTTTATATTATATGATTCTTCTTCTAATTTTTCTTTGCGTAGTATGTGGCTCTGAAAAATGTTGAAGCCTCTAGACAAACCATCTTCTTCTCGTGGAATGAAGGGGACGATTAGCTGCATGGTTATATTTTTGGTTCTGTGTCTCGGATTAACATGCATTTTCGGAACGGCTTCGTCCCATACCATCGGCTTACAGACGGGCACTACGGTAAGACTTGCCACCAGCAACTTCCATACGGGGAACGTGGAATCATCGCCCAACGAGGAAGGACACTTAAAGACTCGTTTGACCCGACAAGTGCAACTACAAATAGAGCAGTCAAAAGAGGATCAAGAAGATGAAGAGGAGGTACACCAGGTTGGAGACGAGGAACAGATTAGGACGAATGGAATAAAGGACAAGAACCAAGAAAAAGAATCTGTGGAGTCGAAATCAAAGGAAACTGAGGAAGAGGTGAGTAAAAGTGACATTCAAAGGACTACGCCTGGAGATCAAAAAGCAGAAAAGTCGGCGCACAAACTTGATGACGACTCACAAGAGGCAGAGTTGGAGGAGCAAGGACGAGTTGGAGTAAAAAAATCAGCAGCTGAAGCAGAGACGCATGATTCTGAAACTCAGGAACAAGAAGCTGAAGCCGAAAAATTTGATGGCGGTACTGAGGAGCAAGAGTCAACCGATGCGGCAAAGTTGGGAGAGGGAGAAACTAAGGGACATGATAAAGGAAGCATAAAAGAACAATGGGAGACCGAGGAGGAGGAGGAACAGAATAATAATGGAGCTGATGCTGAGGGTCCTAAAGCTAGAGTGGGAAAACAGAAAACTTCAGGTCGATGGTATGGCTCAGATGCTGCGACAGAAGAAGATGAAGTCCAGGAAGAAGTGGCGTCCAAAAGTAGAGAGCGTGAAGACGAGGATCGAGATGATAAGTCTGGGGGTCAAGAAGAAGAATACCAGAAAAAGAAAGGAAATGAACGAGGTGTGGACGAAGAAAGCCGTGAAGTAGGAGCTGAGAAAGAAAGTGAGGAATCAAGAGATGAAGATCAGGGAACCGTGGAGAAAATGCGGACGGCAGAGAGGAGAAGACAAAAAGCTGGAGAAGCAAGACGAGAGGCCGAGGAGGTAAGCAGAGAAAAAGAGAAGGAGGAAAAACGAAAAACCGAAGAAGAAATGCGGGAGGCCGAGGATGAGAGAAAAAAAGAGGTCGAGGAAGAGAAACAAGAGGTGGAAATGGAAAAACAAGATCCTGAGGACGCGATAGAAGAAGCCGAGGATAAGAGTCGAGAAGAAGGTGGAGTCGAAAAAAATGATATAACGCCTAATCATCAGCCTAAAAAAGGACAAAAGGCTGATGAAGAAAAACTAGAATCGCAAGAAGAAACACAGGGCACTGATGAAGAAAGAAGAGTGGCCGAAGATGAAAGCAAAGAAAAGGACGCGGCAGAAATCCGAAAAAATGAAATTGAATATCAAGATGAAGATGATGACCGGGGGAGCGTAGAAAGCAATGGATCCACTGAAGACGAAACACGAGAATCCGAGGGCGTAACCCATGTAAAGAAAAAACCCACTGCGGCACCAAAAACCAAAATAAAGGAGAAGAAAGCGGCTGTGGCGGAGAAACCGCGCAGAATGAGGGGCGGAAAAACAACTGCGGCACCTGAAATCGCGGAACAAAGTGCAAAGAGTAGAAAATTCGTTGGAAAAACTACATTCACCAAACAAAGAGCGGAAAAGGGTACACGAGGAATGATGGACTCGTCTGCTGAGACACCTGAAGTTGAAGAAGAAGGAGGAGCAAAACGCGGAAGAACGAATGGGAGACACCGGGACCGTTTGAAGTTGAGAAATACAAATTCGACCTGGGTGTCGGACAAGTTCATTGCCGCCATTAATAGCAAGCAAACTGAATGGAAGGTAAGTTATTCATGAGATACACACATGAGATAATTGCATTTCGACGGTGATTTTGCAGGAACACGTACGTGCATTGTGCAAACCGCTCATCTCTCTAAATGGCTGTTTGGGAAAATTGAGATATCGATGGGCAATTTGAGCAGCATTTCCCTCTTTCTCGATAGAAAATTTTTTGGAGCTTTTTCATTTTTCGACGCTCTGATATTGAGATGACGAGAATTATCTCAAAACTTATCTATGAAGACTCTCATTATGTCTTAAAGAATCGAAAAGGAAGGAGTATTGCCATGTGGCTATGAGTTTTGATTGGCTCCTCCATCTTGAGCTTCATGAAGCTCTTAGGACCCGAAAATGGCGGACGCTGTAAGTGAATGTAAGAGCAAAATGACTTAAAATAAAGTTTTATTTGCACGTAACAACGAGAACTTTACTTAGATGCATTGTTACAAGGTATTTACAAAGTTCCAAGGCTAATCCTGAGCTATTTTTGAGAAAAATTATCTTGGATGTAGTGTGGTTGGCAGCAAGTGCGGTTGGTGATAACAGTCAAAAGTGAGCAATGATATCCCTTCCATCCTCAAAAACCAAAAAAAAGCACCACCATTTTTGGGTCCTGAGGCCTCCATGAAAAGTGGAGGGGCGTCATGTCCGTACTCTCTCTATGAATATACTCTAAGGAAGTATTCAGGGAAAATGAGCGTGTTAATAAAATCGGTATCGAATCGAATATTAATATTCGAGCAGAAGGCATTCGAAGTTTCTTCCTCGATAAAGCGTCCTGCCCACTTTCAAACTAGGGTTCTCAAACTGGCACCAATTCTTCTATTTCTCAGCCATTTCTGCACGGAATTTCTTAAAAATTTCAAGATCTGATTTGGGATGTATACCGAACACATCAGTTACCTTCAAAGATCGTCGGGCCGACGATTTTTGAGAGACAACAGTTAACAGTTCCATCGATGAGCCTCTTTGAAGCTCCTAGTTTGAAGGTTGGCTGGACGCTTATAGGCAATCTTCTTTATTTTAACTTATCGAATTATTTTTTTCTTTTTAAATTCATCAATACTTTGTACCAAAGTTAACATCTGAGCTTCTGGAATCTTGAGTGAAAGTGCGAAAAACATATGAGCCTATACAATACCCTGGTAAAAATTGGCAGTAGAATCTGTGTTCCAAAATACCATAGACCTGTGGCCGGCTGTGAGATTTCCAATAGCTTCTATAGCCGGCTACACAATTTCTTATAGCCTTTTATAGCCGATGGCGATTAAGCAACTCACAGCCAGGCGATAAAGTGTATGCTAGACGTTACTAATTACGGATGCTAGGACTTAGTGAGTTTTTGGACCACTGCTCTCTTTTTGGGCCGTAGTATCTTGATTTATTTTGCGAGGAAAGCTCCGTACTTTTGATGGATGCCTGCCATTCCTAATATATTAGAACGCCTTCAGTTTCGTATGATACTGTGCAATACCTCTGGTGTGAAATAGTTGCTTCAAGCGCCGTGGCACGCTGCGGTGCGTGAAACGCGCACTGACGCCTACAAACCTAACAGGGATACTTCACGCATTGCGCAACGCGTGAAGTATCCCTGATAGGTTTGTAGGCGCCAGTGCGTCGCCGCTCCGCTTTGTGTTAGGCTCTAATATTCAATCTGGCGGAGTCAGCGTTATTCAACTCATAATTTTGAAATGTTTGCACACTCTGTGTGGATTATTCTCATTTTAATTGATGAAAAAAAAAATATGTATTAAAGGAAAACATAACGTGCGTTTTGTAAATATTAAGGTGGTTCCGTATCAAACTTAATGATTTCCAAAGCACACGGATTTCTACACAATTTCTTATAGCCTTTTATAATTGATGGCGAAAAAGCAACAGCCAGGCGATAAAGTGTAAAGCCCAGCTGCATAATTTTTTATCGGCTCGTATAGCCTGGCCGTATGATTTTCTCCGCATTCTACAGCCAGCTATATGATTTTCTGTAGCCTTCTTTAGCCGGCTATGGGAATTCCTATGGTATTTTAAAACGCAGCTCTTATCGCCAATTTTTACCAGGGTATTTCTGAAGTTACTCGTTGCAAACCCATAATAAGCGAGAATAGTGTGGGAAAAAAACTAAAAACTGATTTTTTGACAATACCGGAAATCAGTGATAAAACCTGGATCAAAGGTAGTGTAATTAATTATTTTATTTTCATGACCTACATCAGAATGATCCTAAATTATATGAATCTAACTATTAATTAGCGACGAACGAGTTCGACTTTGATATTTGGTTCATTCTTTTATGTATAGGCCGGGAGGAATTTCAGAGCTGACATCCGGAGTAAAGTTCTGAAACGACTGGTTGGCGAGCGTTTGGGAAGCAGCATTTCATGGAGTGAAAAATTCCATTCCATTCTGCCAAGCGTGTGGACTACATTTAAGGGTGCGTTAATGAGCTATACCGTCACGCCTGAATCATATGATCTTCGTGACGAAACGGACTGCGTTATGCGTCCCCTGGACACTGGTTTGGCAGCAACAAGCTGGGTTAGTGTTTAGTATAACCATAGGTTGCAATAGAGGAGGGTCAGCTAAAATATACATTTGCCTCAGTCTACAATGATTCTATACATCAGATATGCTGTAGTATCCTTTTTGAAGCGGGAATCTTAAAAAAAAAAGACAAATTTCTTACGCAGATTGTGAAATTAGAGTGCATTTCAGAGTTTGCCGATGCGCCCATCGTGATTCTAGAGACATTATTTGAAAGGAACAGCTCTTATTTTTGCTCTAGCAAAAGTTTGCAACAGGCCCATTATAGTAACGAATCAGTCTGGGTGATTTGAATAATTCATAGGATGGCTGCCTTCTTGGGCCCTAAAAGGTCCATGACCTAACCTCAAATTTTTTTTTTTTTTTTTTTTTTTTTTTTTTTTTTTTTTTTTTTTTTAATTGAGAGTTTAGTGGCTTCTATTCCTTTAGGAATCTACAGCCATCTATAGGCACTATTTATTGTCCGAAGACATCAGGGAGTTTGGTAGACATCCATGCTCGGGCTTACAAATTTTCACGGATTAAGGCCGAGCGAATTCTGCTTACAGATCCACTCGTCAGTTCCATGAAAATTTGTCGCCACCACCGGGATTCGAACCCGGGACCTATTGACCTAGAGTCAGACGCGCTAACCACTAGGCCAACCTGGCCGGCTAACCTCAAAATTACCGACATGTCCGCACCCTCCCTTATAGGTACTTTAAGGTGATTTGATGGACGCCATATTTCGTGTCAGAATGGCATGCGATATATCGCATCAATTGGTTCCATTTTTTCAGCTACTCGTCATTTTTCTCCAATTTTGAGATTGCAATTCTGTTGTCAGGAGGCTAAAGAACTCGCTTACCAATTTTAACAAAGAAATTCAACGTAATAAAGGCGTGGCTTTTACAGAGAGAAAATATCGCATTCGAGTGCAGTTTCGATATCAGTATCGAATGCGATGTTTTCTCTCTAAAAAAACCACGCCTTTATTACGTTGAATTTTTTTTTTTAAAATTGGTAAGTGAGTGCTTTAGTCTCCTGACAACAGAATTGCGATCTCAAAATTTGAGAAAAATGACGAGTAGCTGAAATAATGGAACCAATTGATGCGATATATCGGATGCCGTTCTGACACAAAATATGGCGTCCATCGAATCACCTTAATATTAATACACTGAAATCTCTATGTTCGGATTTTTTGGGCATGCATGTTACAGGCACTTTCAACAGCGCAGTCTGTAGAAGATCGATGGTGCGCTACGATGAGCTCGTCGCCCGGGAGAACCTTTTCATCACAGTACCTAATTAATTGCTGTGATGCGTGCACTGATCAAAGTAGCACCAACGCCGGGTAAGAGACTACCGTAAATAAATGTGCAAGGGTAAAGGGATTTTGGGATATATTCTGCTTGCTGTTCCCAGCGTTATAATGAGATTTAGAAACTAAACGTCTAGTTCCTTTAAACTCGCGCCAGAAAGCTTGATTTTACTCATGACCCTTTTTCTCCGTATATTCATCATTCAATTCTTCTGTGAGCATTTTACTTTCTCGCTCCCCTAGGATAGAGAGGAAGTATTGCCATCCTCCAAGAAAAAAAAGGAAAAAAAGTTGAAATTTCATCATTTCTAGACGTTTTAAGGTCCCAGGAGTGAAAATAACCATACTTGAAAAAATGTGTGTCCGTCCGTTTGACGTCCCCCAGATCTGTCTACAGCGATATCTCATAATCTATCTGTTCGATTTCATTCAAAATTCTCACAGAACACCATGTCTATGGTCTCCTTATGCACGTTAAAGGATTTTGGGGTACGCTAAAATTTGGGGGGGGGGCTAGTTTTTTATTGGTTTTTTTGGTCCTTTTTTTCGTACGTCAAAAAAGACAAGAAGGAGAAAAGAATCATTGAGACTTAAAACTTCTTCCATAAAATCTAGCCGGAAAGTTACTCCAAGATATACACCCCTGGTCGTATTCATTAGTCACTCCTTAAAAGCTCCTTTCCTTGGAAATCCCCATTTGGTTTACATTGCAACTAAGGAAGGTTCAAGGAAGCCCTCCAAATAGCATTATAAAAAGGACAACTTTTGGCAACATCGAGAAAAACGCAGAGAACTTAAAAAATCGGTCCGTAAAAGGGATTACAATTGGAAGGACAAAATACGGAAGAGACTATTCTATGGCTTTGTCCAACTTTAGGGTAGGTGCGAACCTACCTTGATATTTAGAAAAAAAGCAGTATTACTTCCTTACGGATTTTGTATACTTTTTTTTGACAAATCATTGTGATCCTTTAAAGACTCGCTTTTTAAAATTATTATACTGCTGAATTTTACCCAAGTTTGCAAAAAATGTCCTTTTTATGATGTTAAGTCACGAATACCCTTAAGCCTCCCGTCATCACAGTGTAAATCATACGTGGCTTCCTAGGGAAAGGAGCTTTTTAAGGAGTGACTATGCATACGGCCCCGAGTGTCAGAAGAAACACGTAAGTTGCTTCTTATCTGTCAGCAGGTTCTCTTTTAAAATTTTAGGAGTCCGATGGAGGCATATAACTTTATGCAGAGGATTGGAATACCAGGGAAGGATTGCAAACCTTACTCTTCCTCGCCAGTCATGAAAACATTGGGAGCTGACGCTGTTAGTACAAAAGTGCGAGTACCACGCATTGTAAATGGTTGCAGCTCTGAGTGTGACGAAAGTGATCTCCCTTTCGTTTTTACTGACCTGTGCAAAAGTAAGTTATGCGCAACCATGAACACTAATTTCGTCAGAACATAAACGGCCTACAACTTCAATATCTTCTACATATCCATGTGAATAACACGGTTCATGGCAGTTTTTTAAACCTAAAATAAAGTACTGTTCAGGAAGTTCAATAATAGTATCAGGGACTTCAACGACTTCCGAAAATTTCTGGTATTCTGACGATTGGACAAAACACTCTGAATGTCTGGGGTGATGTCAAAAAATAGTGTATTTCCTTCGGAAAATACACTAAATAATGGACGTACCTCTGCCAAACGAAAATATGTGCATTAAGATATGAGCCCTGAGACCTATAAGAATATGTGCATAACAAGGCTCACGTCATGATGCACATAGTTCCGTTTGATGGAAATACGTCCAAATGGAAGTTTTTCCTCGGATATTTCCTGTCATCTAAATGTAAAAAATCAAACGCACAACCTGCGGACAACGCCATTTGACGTACATTGCCGTGGCCAAAAAAAGAAAAAGCACATCTGATTTGACACATCCAGATTTCGTTAATTTTCAAACTTGTAAGTATTTGCGCGCTGTAATTCAAAATTCAAGAACATCCGACGACTTGAAAATTTGAAAAAAAAAACAAATATTGAAAAGTATTCAAGGACTTGTCACAACGTCTTGAATCTTACGGCAAATGTTGAAATTAGTGCTGCACACTGATGAGAAGAGAACGCTAACCCCAATCTATACAGATGAAATCAATGGAGAATACAAAGTAGACCTCCCGCCAATTATTTCAGTCAGTTTTTGGAGTGAGAAAAATATCCACCATTTTGGTACTTCCGTGTACTAACTTATTATGCACGTTCAATTTCTCGAATAATTCCTTCTTCATTATTTCCAGTCAGGTCCTACCACTACATAGTTCCCGGATGGGCATCAAGCATCAAACACGAGATCCGAAATAGAGGTAGTGTGACAGCAGAGGTTACAGTCTACACTGACTTCCTGAATTATAAAGAGGGTACTTCAACATTCCAATACACCATCATCAATATAATACAGTCGTTCCTGATAGCCTCATAATTGAATTGGTTTTTGCATTGGAAAGTCAGTTACGTATATGTGACGTTACGTAAATAAGTGGCCATAACGTTTCGAACTTGCCAAAGACAAAGAGAGACTCTCCTTCGCTATCCTAGCTCCAACATTCAAGTGTTGACTTACCTACTAGGTGGATGACGTCCTGAACGGAATTTTTTAAAGCGCGATATCTCGGTTAGGAACGTAGAGAGATGCTGTTTGGACGGATCTTATTGTTTTACGCTGATCTACAAGAATCGAACATCAAAACTTGATTCTACGACCAGCGCAACTGACTACATATTGCCTTTACCAAGATCTCTAGCACGGACTAAACTACCGTGCTGAGGAAAAACTCTGTATGAACAAAATTTACAAATTTCCTTCGATATTATGTTAATTTTAGAGGTAAGTTAGGGATATTTTCCTAAGATATTTTAAAGAACTTCAGGTAAAATGGCAAACAAAATTATCTGAAAAATTGGAAGAAAAATATTTACAAATTTCTCCGAAAATTCGTAATTTACCGAAGGAAATGTTGCAACGTCTAAATGCTCACACATCGTTCTTTCTTAGCATGAATAGCAGTATACTGCCGTCCTAAGGGAGAACGCCGTAAGAACATTCGAGAGTTTCCAAAATTCCCCGTATTTTCAAGGAAAGTTATTAATATTTTTCCGTGAAATTTTCAGATATTTTAGATGAAATTACGAACAAAATCCTCTAAATAATCAGAGAAAAAGAGTCACAATTTTCTGAAAATTCGAGATTTGTGGAAGGAAATTTGGCAACGCCTAAAGGTTCATACAACGTTCTCCCTTAAGGCCTCGATAGACGATCAAATTCCCGAACCAATTACCATCAAAGTGTCGGGAGTCATCAGTCTGAAACTCATTAATTTGCTTAATTTCAAAATGAAAACTTGCAGAAATGTTTCCCGAGGCAGGAAATGACGAATGGTGGCACTCCATTCTGATCTTACTTTGAACAAAAGAGTGCGGCCAGTCAAAATTTGATGGTAGACGGTGACCATCAGTCATCAGCATGTCTACTTTGATCGGAATTGGTTCGGAATTTGATCGTAGGGTTTTAGCACGAGCAGCAGTATACCAACCCGAGATCTGGTTTTGTTCTCAGGAGTATACTCCCCGGTGGAAGGAGCGGAGCCATTCGGTGACCTAACACTACGTTTGATCGGATGGAATGGATCCCACTCGCAGCTCCACTGGCTCGCGGTCGGGGTGTGGGGGAGGAAGTGGGGTGACAGGGGGATGGTCAAACTCAAGGCCTTCGATCCGAGGCTCAACTTGGAATCGCGGGTGTCGGTGAGTACGGTTGACGGGACCCAGTGCAAGGAGGCGCAGCAACCGGAGGTGACAGGGTTCACCATAGAGGCCAGCGACGTGGTCCAACGCCGTTTGGAAAAAATAAGATCGCGCCTGACAAAAGCTCGTTTTATGTCGTCTCAATCGCTGGTCGGCTCAAAAAAGCGGAACAGGAGGTAGGATCGAGAGTCCTCTATAGGGAGAGTTCAGACATACGCACTGCCGTGGTAGCGAAGATAGCAGTAAGTGTGAAATTTTTGAAATCGAGTATTCTTAAAAACTCGTCTAATCTATTTAAGACGAAATCACTGAAAAAGCTAAAACAGAAAAATTCGTTTTAACTGTATAAAAGCGAGAGACGTGAGAAAGTTGTAAGTGCGAAAAAATGACGTAGTTACAGGCAAGATAGTAGTAAGTGACATTATTCCTCCACACAGTCAATGAAAACAGTGCTTTCACGTAAAGTGCAGCCCCTTTCTGCCAATTTCTAACCTGGAAATGTGTTTGTTGTGTGTCCATGTGCGGGACTTATCCATTGTTGACTCTTACCAAACTTCTGAGCGGTTTTCCGTGTTCATTATAATTATCTGCGAAAAACTTTTTAATAGTCTAGCATCATTTCCGCTTTCCAAGTCACTTTTCTGTTTTCCCCAAATTTTAGAAACTTTATTTTAAAGCTTATCACAAAGGGGATTTTTTGTAGTTTCATATGTGATGCATTTTTATAACGTCATCGAAAATATAAACTTTATATGAGACTCTCTAGAGCTCAAATACAAAAAAGTCGCCAAAATCTATGACTGTAATGTTTTTTGCTTAGTTTTCAAAGAAATGGATCAGTTGCGCTGGCGGTCATTGAATCGCATTTTGATGATTTAAGTTTATAGATTCACAGTACATCATAAAATTTTTCCGTATATGTTCGTCCAATATTGACAGAGATATCGCCCCTTAAAAAGAAAGCGTTCATCCTCTGCGGTAGTGCATACCATGCTTCCTTCCATCTGGTTTCATCAATTAGTGAGACACACATTAACACTGGTCGCTCAACGTACAACACGGTTTCAGGTGCAATGCGTGAAGTATTCATGCAGTCTTGTAGGCGCCAAATATGTGTACTCTCCGACCGTACTGTTTGGCGCAATGCGTGAAGTATTCAGACAGTCTTGTAGGCGCTAATATGCATCTCTCACCGCCCGCACTGCGTTTGGCCTTAGCACGATTATTCGGACTCGCGAAGTTGAACAAACCAAGGAGGAACAAAGCACCACAGCGGTGAATGACGTCAACGAGGTTTTCGACGAGCGATATCTCCTTCAATATTGGACGTAGAAACATGGCGTTTTAACAAATCTCGTTATTGTTCAGCAGTATATTAGCAGCTTAAACCATCAAAACACGATTCTCTAAGTAGCTCTGTAATTAATTTAGATACAGAATTGAGTAAAAAAAAAAAAACGTATGTATAATGAAAATTTTTAGAAAAGGGCCTATCTATCGAGCGGATTAATTTTGCTTTTTAGCTTGGAGCCAGGATTCGGGGAATTATACTATGTTCGTCCTAGCTGAGCCTCAAGCCTTTTCGCAAATTTAAAACCGTGCGTTATGTAGTTGTGACGATTGCCTTACGCAGAAAGTTTGTTCGATATTTATACAGATAGGTCCAGTCGGCTGCGCCGATAAAAACTAACATATTCTGTTCCCTTAAAAGATAAAGTCAGCTATAACTTACGTTCAAGTCAATTTGACCATATTCCTATTCCTCTGACCGTAAATGACTCTACATGACTCATAATTACTTCTATTGCCTCAAAACCAAAGTCTCATTTAACTTAATTTAAGAGTAAATTGACAAACTCGACGACTTATCTTCAATATGAGAACAAAATACTGTTATTTATAGCAGTGGAAGTGGCGTAAAAACTAATGATGCATTTTACAGCAAAGAACTCTTTTACAAGCCTATAAACACATCAAAGACGCTTTACAATCTGATGGATCCTTAAGTGGTTTTTGAGTGTTTTTTCCCAATTTCTAGTCTTTCCTTGGCCTGTTCGTCTTCTTCCTATTTTGTGTGCCTCCCTATCCCAAAAACGTTCCCAGTAATAAACTGTGGGTCTTTTTTACAAACTCTCAATACAGACATGTCACATTTGCTCGATTCTTTCTCATATTTTTCACAGAATATTATTTCGGCAATTCCATGATATACTTGTTCAGTACGGTCTTTGATGCGAGTATCAAAATGAGTATAAATGTTACATTCTTACATAATAACAGCAATAGGAGACGGCAAATTCAAGTGATGAATACCTGAAACAAAAAAGAGAAGAAAAAATTATAATTAACTGCCTCTAGTAGATAGGTCAACAGTTGAATGTTGGAGTCCAAAAAGTAAAAGCTTACGCCATTGTCAAGATACCAGTGAAAGGTCTCTTGTCTCCGGTTTAACTGAGAAACGTTCAAATAAATACAGTGACCTAACTGCTTTTCAATTGCCTCTGGAAAAAATGAATTCTACTGGGTCGCATTTGTTTAAAATTGACTATACAAACTCCATGAAAGGCCTAAAATTGAACACATTTCTACGAAACGGAACCAGACACAGGTGAGGAAAAAAAGGCGTGCTCGTTAATTGAGGCCCACACGAATGAATGGGAATTATAAAGCGCCAGTGACGTTAGCGGCGACGAAAATCCGCGGATCTGTATTTAACTCATGAGCTCTGTTCACGACGCTGTTTTGCCATGCCCACGGCTCATGGATGTCAAATACAGATGTCCCCAAAGGAAACCACGCCCTCTATTACACTGTTTCTTATCCAGCTTTCTAGAGAACATCTCATCTTTCCCACTCGCCTACAGTTCCCTACAGCAAAAATACGTCCACTTGACCCTAAAATCTCTATAAAAGGCATAAAATTGGTTGACTGAATTGGAGAACAGAAAAGACACTGCGATGTTCTCAATATACAGGATGATCCAGGGTTAAACGGCCAGACTGCAGGAGTCGAAACACCCCCAAACCTCCTCTTTAAATTGAGATTTCGATTTTTTTCACATCATTTATGAATTCAGGGTATAAAAGTACAGGGGAATACAAATTTAAAGGAGATTTGGTTCACAACCGTTGCACAATACAGGAAAAACGATTTACTTTCCGATTTTTTTTTTTTTTTTGGGGGGGGGGCGTTGCTCCAACTGGGGGCACTTATGGAAAAAACTTTATACAACAAAAAAGTCTTAGTCCAACCCATAAAACACGTTCCTGCAGTCTGGCCGTTTAACCCTGGAGCACCCTGTATACTCCAGCTTGGCTAGACCGTTCCCTCACAGGATTGTCTAATCGACAGATCCTGGACGAATTTCATTGGTCGATCTCGATCTCGTTATAAAGCGGAGCCGTTAAACTGTCCTAAACGCGGAGCGTGGAGAATGGCCGTATCAACGACGAGGCACTCGTGCCGATATTAATTTTTTAGGGGGCTGTAAAACATTAGCCGGGCAGTTGGGAGTAGCCTCGGTCTTCGAACGCGCACAAACGAGAGACCCGGGAACCGCTCTCCGAAAATATTAACATGTGGAACATCCGCGGAAAAGTAACTATAAATTTGGTTTAGTGCAATTTTTTAAGTGTCATATCACCATAAAAAGTGAGTATTTATTCAATGATCGTCAAGAGGCAACTGCCTGCGCATCAAGGTGGACATCCGTTCGTTCACAGGTGAATGGTACGAGTTTCATTGGTTTCAGTCTCAACTAGTGCTTTATTTGACACTCTGAAATTATGCTCCACGCTGGGGAGTAAGGCCCTGACCGCCTCGCGGTCCAAACCCCCCTGAACTGCTTCGCGCCTTCGGCGTTTTGCGCTCAGCGTTACTCTTATCCTTTCAGTACAAAAACCTTGTGAGCGGTATCAAGGGTTGCTAAGATTATATATCGACGGTGTAATGCAGCAATAATATAACTCGGTTTGCAAAATCGCAGACTTCCTGTCATACTTCATTTTTTAAACGGAAAACTACTCAACGGCAATTCTTTAAAACTGCCGTGATTTTTCTTCTCTGTGCGAAGAAAATTCTGCAAAAACATGGAAGGAATAACGTCGATATTTTCTCCTTTTAAAAAATAACGTAGAGGCGGAAATTTTCAGACACCGCAAACGAGATGTGTGATTGCCGACTTACGTCGTCGATAGGGTGTTTTTCACTGTACAGGAGCCTAAATGCCTTCGTTTTATGGACTATTGGGAAAAAAGGAGACTCGACGCCCAGTTGGTGAGGGGAATTGAGGGGTTTGGAGGACAAGGCGCATAAGTGCAGGTTTTGCTATTTCGAGAAATACGCGTTTGAAGTTTCGAAATTACATGGATCCTCATGGCGGAAAGGAAGTTCAAACTGACTTTTTGATATTTAAAAATATGAATTTGGAAGCGAATTTTTCACTTAATATGCATTAAGACTAGTTTTACTTAAAATCATTAATATCTCAATTTTTTCAAAACTGCACTTTTGCGCCTTATTCTTCAAGCCCTTCCATTCTACTCTACTCATATTGGGTCCTGGGAATTGTTCAGTCACAAATAGAGGATAAAAGAATAAAAACTTCAATTTTTACGGATAGTAATAATTCAATAATTTTGCAATAATATCGCGATTTTACCAACAGCAATTATCGCAATATTATCGAACAAAGAATCGTGATAAATTGGGATAAAATTTGGATTTTATCAAACGTGATTTTATACAGATAAAATTGCGACAAGACTGAAGATAATTGCTCAGATGTTGGTGATCTTAGCGATTTTATCCACAAAAAATCGTAAAAAAATCGCAACTTAATTTTAAAATATCGCGATTTTTCCGTTGATAAATTGGATTGCATTTTTCAAAAAGGAACCACTAGCATTGCAATGTTGCTAAGATTGTGCAACTTCTTTTGACTTGGAGGAAAAACCCGATTATCCATTAATATTTTCTATTTTACTTGCTAAAAACTGTGAATTTAAGACAAAAATTACCATCTAAATTTCATAGTTTTTTTACGATTTCCGCAATTTTATTGCAAAGGATAAAGTTGCACAATCTTAGCATCATTGCAATGCTAGTGGTTCCTTTTTGCAAAATGCAATCCAATTCTACTTTGGCCACTGCATCACATGCTTAATAAACTCTTTCGAACAGTTTCAGGATGAAAAGTCTGCTTTTCTGCACCAGTGTGTTAAGTCTTGGGTTGAGTTTCGTGTATGGCAGCGCAGTGTCCTCACATTTGACCGGTGAGCGAGGCTCGGATCGTCTGCAGAAAAGAGACAACCTATCTCCCCGTCGTATCGTCGAATATGGCACATATCACGGAGAAGATCTCGCGGATGAAATGGAGGAGCCACTAAAACCGATAGCTCTTTCCTTAGTGGCAAACGGTTCTCAATCATCGGTGGTTGCGGCCAAACAAGAGCCACAATCGCCGGGTCCGGATCCGAAAAAGTCTTCGACGGATTTGAGAGCGCTTTCACTAGATTCGAAGGAGCCTCCACAAGATTCGAAGGAGCTGTTAATAGATTTGAGGGACCTTTTATCAGAATCAAACAAACCAGATCTATCTGCTCCTAAACAGGCTTCGCAAGATTCCGAGGAACCCCAATCAGGCGGTAAGAAGTCTTCGTTGGCTCATAAGGAACTCTCACAGGATGGTGACGGATCCTCGTCAAATGATTATAACGGGGATGATTTTGAGAAGACGTCGGATTATGAGAGCGAACCTTCGTATCCTGAGGAACCAGCTCCTCAGAAAGCCCCTCTCGATTCTGCAAATCCCCCGGTAGATTTTGCAAAACCTCCTTCAGGTTCTGCGAAACCCTCACCAGAAGCTTCAAAACCCTCGCCTGATTCTGCGAAACCCTCGTCAGAAGCTACGAAACCCTCGCCAGGTTCTACGAAACCTTCGCCAGATTCTACAAAACCCGTGCAAGACGTAACAAAACCCTCAACAGAAGCTACAAAACCCTCTTCAGAAGCTACTAAACCCTCGCCAGATTCTACGAAACCCCTGCCGGATGTTGCGAAACCCTCACCAGAAGCTGCAAAACCCTCTTCAGAAACTACTAAACCCTCGCCAGGTTTTACGAAACCCTCGTCAGATGTTGCGAAACCCTCACCAGAAGCTGCAAAGCCCTCGTCAGAAGCTGCGAAACCCTCGCCTGATTCTACAAAACCCTTGCCAGATGCTGCGAAACCCTCGCCTGATTCTACAAAGCCCTTGCCAGGTGCTGCGAAACCCTCGCCTGATTCTACAAAACCCTTGCCAGTAGGTGCTGCGAAACCCTCGCCAGATGCTGCAAAACCCTCGCCAGAATCAAATAATCAAGATAACCAAGAGGAACCCGTGCCAAATGATGACAGGTCCTCGTCAATCGGCAAGCATACTTCACCTGAAAAGAGTCCTCCACAAGAAAATCTTCCTCCAATAGCAGATATTCCCCCGGCGGAATATATTCCCCCGCAAGCATATCCTCCACTACCGCCAATGAGACAAATACCGACAACGCCGCCTAGGCCAAGAATGAATAAATTCCTTGCGATAAAACAACGTCTATTCCCTGCCTCGTGGTTTCCTTCTAAAAAACAGGGTTTGCTGGAGATGTTTCCATTTAGGATTGCGAGGTTATATGAATCTTCAGACCTGTCCGTACAAAACCCCGACTTCGGGCCTGAAGGGCCGGCAGACTCGGTCCCCCAAGGCTCAAGCGTCCAGATCTTTCAGGGTCCGAGCTTCTGGCCTGAAAGGCCTGTGGGCCAGGGCTTTCAAGGTCCTAGCTTCCGCCCTGAGAGGCCTCTATATCCAGCCCTCACACCGCCTCTTCCGTATACGGCAAGACCTCCATATCAGGCCTCAAGTTCCGGGCAAGCTCCCTCGGAATGGTTATCAGACGTTTTCATTGACGCCATCAATAAGGAACAGAGCCGCTGGAAGGTAAATTTGTGCCACTACTATTCTTTCTCGTTTGTTCCTTCCACTACATTAACATTTTCGATGAGAATTCCGCACTGGTATGGAACCTATCTCACCAAAGTCCTGGATATTATTTCCGGATTCAAGCAATGGAAAAAATGACACTATGATGAGGAAATTATTATTTTAAATTGATGACGTAAAAAGCATCCGTTACAAAAATTGGATTGCATTTTGCAAAAAAGGAACAGAGAGCATTTTAATGTCGCCTAGATTTGGCAACTTTTGTTACCTTACAAATATAAAGTGATCACCTGAACAACTTTTATCTTTACTCCCAATAAACTATTAATTTATGATAAAATTACCTTCTTCAATTTAATTATTTGCACGATTTCAGTAATTTTTCGCAAAAGATGTAAGTTGCACACTCTTAGTAACATTTAAATGTTCTTAGTTCCTATTTTCAAAATGTAATCTAAACATTCTGAGAAAATTCCGAAACTCAATTTAAAAATTCAAACAATCTCGCAAGGTTTTTTTAAAAATATTTTACGCGTATAATTTCAATTTAGAGCATTTACTCACTTAAATGCATTTGCTTTTGCCTTTTCCTTGTAAGCAACAAACCGATGTTTGATGAGTCCACAGTTTTCAAAGTAAAAATTTTGATAAGGAAACGTACATTGTGAGGACCCTCTCCAGTGGTTCAAGTACTGAAGCTGCGATTTCTTTCTGTTGAATATTCGGTAAGGTCAACTGATGACTTAATTTTATTCCTCAATCGCAGGCTGGAAGGAATTTTGGCCAGAGGCTCACAAATACAGAGATGGAGTATCTGGTGGCGCGAAACCCTATCGTACCGGACAGGAATCTCATCAACATTCTTCAAGATATAACCACCTCCCTCATTCCGAATCTTTCAGCCGTGTTTCTTGAATATCTCGGCTTCACAACGGACGAATACGATGGTCGCAGGTCCTGGTGCGAGGGAGGCCCTCAGGACACGGGATATGCCGCTACAAGCTGGGTACGACACAGATAAACAATTAATTACTATCCATCGCTAGCCATCAAAGCAATAAAATGGGAAGTATTCATCTAAACCTATTTCGATGATCCTGTTTACTGGTAATTCTCGCGAGTTCGCCACGATGAGCTTTGCCCATTTGAATTGATTTAATATTAACCGATGATTATCTACTCTAGATAAAGTAAGAAGCCTTAAGAGTCTCACAAAGAGGAAGGAAGAGCAGCAATTTGACAGCAGGCCGAGTGGCACGGCACCCTCTACTTGGCTGATCCGCCTGGTGCTCAGGTTTTGGGGCCCTGGTGAAAAATAACACAGTGCTCATTTTTCATCGAAAATATCTACAAAACAAGGAGCAATTTACGCGTTGGTAACTTTAGAAATCAATTTTACACATTTTTCAAGAGATTCACGGGTATTACATGACAATTTTTTCTCAAGGACACCTAACAGTTCGACCTGGGATTTTGTTTTCTTAACTTGAAATATGCCACTTGGATATTTCAGGTCGAACTACTCTGTGTGTTTGAGAAAAAAGTGTCATGTATGATCTCAATCTCTTCAGAAAAATCTGGAGTATTGGTTTCTTTAAATCTCCGACGCGTGAATTATTTGTCCTTGTTTTCGGGATATTTTCGATGAAAAATGATCCCCGTATTGCTTTTCATAAGGGCCCCAGAAAGTGGGCACCAGACGGATCAGCCGATCAGAGACGACTCGTAAAAGTAGAATGTGCCACTCGGCCTGCAATGGACCACTAGACAAGGTACGAATTTAAGCATTCTGATACATGTTTCTTAACCAGAATTTCACGTAGAGCACGGTTCGCGCAACGAAAACTAATGAAACAAACTCCAAACGAAGATATTAACGTTTTTATTTCACATTGGTTACGAGGAATTTGAACTGCCCGCTCACAAGAAACTCAAAGCTCCACGTGAGTCAAATCGCGCACTACAACGGTTTCAACAAATTTCTCAATCGAGTAATGTTCATTTCCCACCATGTGTTTTTCAAACTATAAGCAATTTGCTACAGCTGAGCCAAAGCGTCAAGATTGAGGTTGCCAGATTTGTACATCGCAGAAACTGTCATGCTAACGTTTAGCACACGATGTGAATCACGCAGATCATTGAGTTTTCATGAGCGGGTGGTTTGAATGCACGCATCAAGAATCATTAAATATCTTTGGAAGGAGTTGATTTCGGTAATTTTCATTGTGCGCGTCGTATTCTACGTGAAATTTTAGTTGGGGCACATGTACCAGAATGCTGAAATTCGTACCTTGTCTAGTGGTCCGTTCAAATTGCTGCCCTCGTTTTTTCTTTAGTGTCTCACCAAACATCGATTATTTATAATGCAGTTAAATGGATGAAGTATAGAGTTGCCACCTTGCTAGAATCGTTTATGCCATTTATTGATCACATCCAATTCAACCAGATTAATCACAATTAATCCATGATTTTCTTCAGAATAAATAACAGAACAACCCTCAACCACGAGGCGCATCCGAATCAAAAATTAAAATCTTTCAAGGCTCAAGGAGATGCACCAGTTGGGGAAAGCCATTTAAGATTATTGGCTGAGGCACAGGGAATTACGCGTTTCCGATGGTTATTTGAGATGACGGGCTATTATGTGGTGCTCAGGATTTCCACTTAGTGTCGCGCTGAATCGGAGAAAAACTCAGCGTTTCGAAATTATTACTCCATAAATCGCCACAAGCAAAGAGAAGTTGATAAGGTATGATTTGCGACCGTCCGTACATTAGTGAGGCTGTAAATGTAGAGGACACCGACAGTGAGTGAAATTATTCAAATTCGACCTGCACACATTGTCTGCTACCATTACATCAGATACCGGAAGAAGTGTCAAACGCAACTGAATAAAAGGCTCAAAAATGGTAGGAGGGGGAACAGAGATCTGCCAGGGAGAAGGAGTAAAAAATTCTGAAAAAGGAACCCCAAGAAAAAATTTTCATTTTAGTGCCAAATTTGGCTGGCTAAGGTTTATAGACATAAAAATTGATTGAAAAAATTGAGTTACAAGCAAAAATAAAAAAATTTACACTATAATACTGTATTATATTATTTATTTTGGCTTGTAGCTCGATTTTTGAATAAATTATTATGTGAAACAATTTTCTTTGGAAGGGGGAGGGATATTCTGAAACTTTGCAATCTTTTGGTTGCAGTGATTAATTTTATTCACTCATGCGGTACTTGTCTTTCATGGTTTCCTAATGGTGCTGTCATTGTCTCAGGCACTTGCATCTGCAGCAGCTTTGCGCCAGCGAGTATGCATGTTAAGGGGCGTTTCGGATGCAACATCCTATGCAGCTGAATTTATCATCAACTGCTGTAGATACTGCGAACGGACGACAAATGGTGGCGGGTGAGAATTCATTGAATCATTTAAACATTTGCCCCCAATTTATTGGTGCATGTTTTACGTGTTTAGAGCGAAGGGATGTGCGCCAGCCAAAGAATTGAATTTTGAAGGCTTCGAGGTGGTCGTGTAATTTACTGAATAATATTTTAAGTTCGATAACTTGCAAAATAGATGATGATTAGTGACTTAAATTTTATCTAAAACCATTTTCCAGTAATCTCACTTCCTTACGATTTTTCCTAATTTAATTAAAAATAACGGTCGATTTGTACACAATTTATTTCATATTTATGAGTATCCTTACCAAACGTAACACTTGAAGCAGCCACACGATTATTATTTCATCATAATTTCACGTAAGATTTGTGAAAGATTTCGCATAAACTATCAGGTGTTTTTAAAGTGAGAAATTAGCGTCCAAAATCAACTTTAAAGTCGTAAAATTTTGACTCCCGGTTGTTGTTGCAGGTCTGCAATGGTGGCTTATCAGTACATGCGACAGTTGGGCACCCCCAGTGATGAGTGTCAGAAATACAAAAGGGGAAAAATTTCCCTAGACCCTGACCCGAGGGCTCGGATTCAACCACCGGCACCTCGAGCTTGCAGCAAGGTTTGCGATGACGGCAATAGATTCCCCACCAGCAGAGACCGGCTGAATAAATTCGTTAATAGAGGTATAAATGATTAATTGCTCTGTTTTTTGTTATATTTTTCATTGAATTTTTAAGTTTATTTACTTGAGAGGTTTGTGGATTCGTTCGCTTGTGTTGATTAAATTAGAAAAATGGGTGAAAAGACGGAGAGGGTTTCTGTTCTGGGTGAAAAAATACAGAATGAGATCAGCTCCGTAAAAGCGAAAATACACCCAAAAACTGAATAGACCGGGCTCTGCTTCTGACTAACATTGTAAGACAGCTGTACCAACTTTAAAGGAAACGCACTCAGGATTTCACTACAAATTTTTTATCAGTGCACGATGAACAATTTAAAGATTATCGTACAAAAATAACATGAATAACTTAACTTCATCAAAAATACATGCATGCATAGCATATTCTAATAGGGATAGGTTATTCCTATGAGTGGCGTTTTATGCTTAAGTATGCGATAGGAAAGGGCGAATTACGATGGGGGGGTGAATTAGGGCGATTAGCTACTGAACATGATTCATACCCTGTTGAATGCTACCCTGACTTTTCAGCTTTTGCTTTAAAAATTGATATGATTTACTCAATAGCAAATTAGTCGATAAATAGTAGATAATTCATCAAAAGGTTATTACAAATTAGCTATTAATAATTAAATAATTGATTTTTAGCTGATGAAGTATTCTACATCACTCCCCCATGGCCTAGCATAATTAGGCGGGAAATAATGCGCGGCTCTGTCACCGCTGAGGTTACTGTTTACACGGATTTTCCGAACTACAAAGAAGGTAAGTTACACCGCTTAACTCTTGAAGTGAAGGCACAAAAAATTGGGAGGCTCCGTTTGAAAGCATTCGATGAGCTAAGCTCAAAAATATTTTTTTCAAATCATTTTAGCTGTTGTGAAAAAGGTTTGAAAGTAGAAATGTGAGTACAGCGTATGCAAAACGCACATAAGTTGATGGCTGAAAAATGCGAGACCACGTATCTCCATTGCGACAATGTAGACTTCCAGTCATACTTAATTTTTTCCTTGAAAAACTAATAACGTAATTTCTTAGAAACTTCCTTGATTTTTCCTGTCTGTTGGTAAAATATTTGTCAGAAGCTCAAATCATATGGGCTTGATTTTTTTCAAAAAAATAAGGTAGGAGAGAAAATTTAGAAACATCGCTATTGGTTTACGAGGTTTCCGATTTTGGCCATCGAAGTATTCGCGGCGACAATTTATTCAAGAATATTTTGGCTGAAATCAAAGTCAGTTCTTTTGACACAAATCAAAGGTATCATTTCAAAAGGATCTAAGGGTGCGGGTGGCAAAATCTCAGAAAAATTTCCCGAATACCCTAAAATTGATCAAAATTGACCAAACTACAAATACGGACGGATATACTGCCGTGCTAAGGAAGAACGTCATAAACCGCCATTTTTTTTTTCAAATTGGCTAACATTACTTTTCAAAACTGATAAACATGGGGAGTTTTGACTGTCCGATTGATCTTAAATCTGCCTTTTTTTGCAGGTGTTTACTCTCCGACGAAAATTGCTGTCCCCTGGGGTAACATCACGGTCCGTCTCATTGGCTGGGGCTCAGAGGGTGGACAGGACTTTTGGCAAGCTGCGGGTATTTGGGGGCCCAATTTTGGGGACAAAGGTTATGTGAAATTCAAGCAAGATTGTCCCTTGCTGAATATCGAGCAAAGGATTACAGCTGCGAGACCGCATTTGGACGACCTGCCGTCAGAATAAAACTCTCAGCCAGTGTCACATGTTCATTCAAAATTCTGATCGTCCAACTTTCCCTATATACGTTCACTGAGAGAAAAAAGTTTGATCGTAGAAATATGCGATATTCAATGGGCTTGTTGCAAACTACACCTACACGGAGAAAAATCTATGGCTTATAGACCAATTGGTGGTTCATACGGATCACCACTAATAGTAGTGTAGGCAACATATGATAATAGTACAAGTACATACACCTGAGTTATGGTATATATACCATACTATGGTACGAGCTACCGCAGTATGGTTCACAGACCGATAAGCATTAGTTCATATACAACTATTAATGGTGTTCCATATGAACCAATTAGTTTATATTCCATAGCTTTTTCTCAGTGCAGAACAAGTAAAAGAAATGTATTTGATACAAAAAGGCTTAAAAATCACAATGAACGCATTAGAAAAGTCTGAAATACACTCCTGACTCCACAATCTGCGGGGAAAAATGCGTTTTTTACGCTTCCTGAGATTGAAAAACGGGCAAAACGTAAAAAACGAGTCATTGACTTTCAATAATTGAATAAACTATTTCAAAGAGGCATTGATTTCCATCGCAATAACAACCTCACTTTTCTTCCTTCCGAACTTGAGAGAGTACCATTCGATTCGGCGGACAGAGCCTTTCACTGAATTTAAACGTTCCTGAAAAATTCCATTCAGTTGCTTTACTACCTGATCTTATAAATATTTTTACATGCATTAAGAGGCCGGAATGCGCGACGGGGTCTCGGCATGTGAAAGAAAAGTCTTCGAGGGGAGCGAATGGGAAGAGAGTAAACGTCGGGAGTCTCTCAAAAGCGGACTCGCAAGTGCTATTTATTTTCTCGTTTCAGGGAGGCAAGGAGTCTGGGGTGACAGTACTTGACTTCTAGGGCTCCGCCGAGCGCAAAGAGAGGCCCGATAGAAATCCTAAAAGGAGACTAGCGCCCATTTGTACATATCGTCGCTCCTCCAGCATAAGGACGTATCTCTCATTTCACATGAGCCGTGTAATGCATGGAGTTATATGGGCGAGGTGGCTCATGTGGAAATGGATATGAGCCCTTACGGTATTCTCTTCGACTACGGCTCTGGCCCTGTCGATATTATTCGAAACTCCCAAGAAAGTAATGCTGGGTTGCGACTCCCGGTGTATTTTAACGACGATGGTGAGAGCGAGAAACTATGATTGAACTGCTACAACAACCCTTGAAAGAACTGCTCGATTGGCTCCAATAATTGACTCCACTTTCAAGAGGGTTTTTTTTTTTTATTTTATTTTTTTATAAAAATCAAAAACGGAGAAAAATTTTCTATGGGATCAATAGAAATTCCAATCAATATAGTTCCCGGGCAAGAAATCGCGTTGAGTCAACAAGAAATCACCTTGTTTCAAACGGTATTCTGTTGCTGCAAAGAGACGTTCTGTCACTTTAAGGAGACTTGAGGTTGATTCAACAAAGATTCTAGTCTGAAAAAGTATTAACTGGAAAAATTTCCTCATTCGGTTTTTATTTTCGAAAGTCGTCCAAAATTTTTGGGTTTTTTTCGACGGCATCGCGATTTGCCCATGATATTAATGTTGCCAGTTTCCACAAAGATTTTTTCGACTAAATGCGAGACAGAATACTTCATGAATGTTTGGAAAATGAAGGATTCTGCACGGCAAATTATGATACAAATATTTTCACTCTGGTGTGCACAGTGAAGTATCGCGCAAAACTGAAGGCGTTTTCAACTTATGACAACAGTTTGACGTATAAACCCACGTCTTTCCAGTCATTTCTTCGCGGACGAGTCGGGATCTACCAAGACACAATAAAAATGAAAGATGATTTGCAAATACTATAGAATCTATTTAAGTATTTCAGCGATAGTTTCATCACCTTGGCGCAAGAGGAGTACGTATTATACACTGCATACTACTTCATACTATACTACTTATGCTATACTACATATGCTATAATATATGCTATACTACTAGACCGGGTGGCCCAGACCTACCGTACCAGGCATTTTTCTCGGTTAATTTCGGTCTTAAGAAGTCCAGGATCGCGGGGATGACTAGGGAATCAAACCCAAGGAATCCGAATTTCATGGTCCCAGATCTNNAACGGCGGCCGCGGCCCTTGGAGGATAAAAGGAGGGGTCCGTACTTCGAAAGTCAGGGTTTATATCGAAATTTTAAAATTATTTCATCTTAATCAGAAAGTACGGAAATTTTTAACTTAAATCGACACCAAGAAATCCAAAATCGGCCCATCCGTGTCCAAAATACCGACCCCTCAAAGTGGGGGACAGAGTCCCCTTTCAAGAAATTCAAGTTCATTAAATTGACGTAAAGATTCGGAAAAATGTGTATTCATGGGTAATCGAACCCGAGTCAAAAATGCCGGGAAAATGAGTTAAGTGATAATTGAACGCTCTTCAACCAACCAAGCTACCATTGCTACCAACCAACCAACCAACCAACCAACCAACCAACCAACCAACCAACCAACCAACTAACTGACCGATCGACCGATCAATTAAGTAATCAACCAACCAGCCAACCAGCCAACCAACCAACCAACCAACCAATCAATCAATCAAACAGGAAGACTTTACAGAGTAAGTTTTCTTTCCTCACTCTTCACCTCAGCCCGACGGCTCAACCACAGATGCGTCCCAAAAAAAGAAGCGCATCTTGTGCTCCTCGTTTACCGTGCAAAGCGTCCGCCGCAGCGGAATGAGCTACGTTTACGATCGTGGGTGAGATTGGAAGCGCGTTGGTAACGACAACGACTAATTGCTCGGCAGCAATTTAAGGAACTATGACGACAGACGCGTTTACGGTTTTCGATTGGGCCGCGGTGGACCCCTCTTTTTACAGGGGTACTTTTGTCGCTGGTGACATGGCGTTCTCAGCCGTGCGCGACGGTTTCGCGCTTTTGCTTTCGGCCTTTGCGCTTTTGTCCTGGACCGGCGAGATCAATGCGGGGACCTCTCGCTACAGTGGGAAGTACGTCAAGCTCATCAATGGAGGGCAACAGCAATGGCAGGTAAGTGACGATACTTTGGATTGCTCTTTGGGATTAGGAATCATCACAGGGTTGCCATAATTTCTTCTTCTTCTCTTCTTCTACCTCCTGACTAGGATCGTGACCCTGTTTGTCTAGCCTCTAAATTAGTAAATACATATGACAAATATGATAATAAATAAATAAATAAATAAAAATAAATATGACAAATAACATATGATGGCGATGAGAGAGGGTTAACTCTCCGGGGATGAAAGGCAGCTCTGTGCCCATCTCTTGGGCGGTCGTCCGGGTTGCCTTTGGCATAATTTCTTCATATTCAAATTCCCTGGCTTTTCCCTGATTATTTTTGCTTTACCCATACTTAAAAATTTTCGGATTCCCTAACATTAGAATAACACTTCGACTTTGACTTTTTTCCTTTAAATTACACTCCTTGCTGCTGAGCACTGAACACAAATTAAATTACAATGACTTTTAGTGTGAATTCCCTGACTTTTTCCGATCCCCCAAAATCCGCCCTGATTTTCTCGGTGCTCCAAACCACCGGCGACCCTGCAACACAGCCGCGCTAAGGAAAATCGCCATATGAATCTTCAAGCGTTGCAAAATTTCCTTCGATAAAAAGCGCATTTCCTGGTAAGTTTATGAATATTTTCCATCCGATTTTTTTGAATAATTTTGTTCGTAATTTCCCATAGAGTTTCAGAAAATTTGAGGAAAAAATATTCATAACTTTCCTCAAAACTAAATATTTTCTGCTAGAAAATTTGGCAACATTCGAATGCTCATACGGCGTTTTTCCTTAGGACGACAGAACAGTTCTGGCCCATTATGGAACGACAAATCGTGGTTTCCTGGACGAGGGAACGTAATTCCATTCCAAAGCTGCCAAATTGACACAAGTAATTCAATTTTTTACGAGAATATCACTCCCCAGTCATTGCCAACCAAAATGTTGCTAGTAATCAAGTAAAAATCAGTGCCATTTCCAATTTAAAATTTCTAAAAGTATCCCATTCAAAGTAAAATTTGTGGCATGTAACTAGGTCTTTTCCACTGAGAGACACCGAAATGTTCAATTAGCTTTTTAAAGAGGTAGGTGCATTTATGATCGAGTTAGAAATGGTGAATCTGTATCNCGGTGGACCCCTCTTTTTACAGGGGTACTTTTGTCGCTGGTGACATGGCGTTCTCAGCCGTGCGCGACGGTTTCGCGCTTTTGCTTTCGGCCTTTGCGCTTTTGTCCTGGACCGGCGAGATCAATGCGGGGACCTCTCGCTACAGTGGGAAGTACGTCAAGCTCATCAATGGAGGGCAACAGCAATGGCAGGTAAGAGACAATACTTTGGATTGCTTTTTGGGATTAGGAATCAGCACAGAGTTGCCATAATTTCTTCATATTAAAATTCCCTGACTTATCCCTGATTATTTTTGCTTTACCCATACTTCAAAATGTTCGGCTTCCCTGACATTCGAATGACACTTCCACTTTGACTTTTTTCCTTTAAATTACACTCACTGCTGCTGAGCACTGAACACAAATTAAATTACAATGACTTTTAGTGTGGATTTCCTGACTTTTTCCGATCCCCAGAAATCCGCCCTGTCTTTCTCGGTATTCCAAACCGCCGGCAACCCTGCAACACTGCCACGCTAATAAGCAAAATCGCCGTATGAATCTTCAAGCGTTGCAAAATTTCCTTCGATAAAATGCGCATTTCGTGGTAAGTTTATGAATATTTTCCATCCGATTTTTTGAATAATTTTGTTCGTAATTTCCCATAGAATTTCTGAAAATTTGAGGAAAAAATATTCATAACTTTCCTCAAAACTAAATATTTTCTGCTAGAAAATTTGGCAACATTCGAATGCTCAAACGGCGTTTTTCCTTAGGACGGCAGAACAGTTCTGGACCATTATGGAACGACAAATCGTGGTTTCCTGGACGAGGGAACGGCTGCCAAATTGACACAAGCAACTCAATTTTTTACGAGAATATCACTCCCCAGTAATCGCTAACCAAAATGTTGCTAGCAACCAGTTTCAATTTAAAATGCCTAAAAGTATCCCATCAAAAGTAAAATTTGTGGGATGTAACTAGGTCTCTTCCACTGAGAGGCAACGAAATGTTTAATTAGATCTTTAAAGAGGTAGGTGTATTTATGATTGAGTTAGAAATGGTGAATCTGTATCTCAAAATGAAGCTCGTTTTACGATAATTTGACGTGGCTATATCAAGGCAAAATGTGCCTTTAGGTAGGAGCTTTAAATGATCATTCTGCAGGGCTCCATCGCAAATAATGTCGAGTAAAAAATGCAACTTCGGATATTCCACCGGTAAAAAAATTAAATTGAGGCTCATCTTGATTATTAAATATACCTAATACAAAAGGTAAATTATTTTCATTATTATTTATATTCAATTAAACTTTTGGGTTTTGTGATTTACCAATGTAAATCCATTTAAAATAATTGTTTCAATTTTTTTCCTACACATACTTTTGTTGTTATTAGGATTTTCTGATATAATTTTGTTGAGATCATTACATAAGGTGAAATTTATGCATTTATAGATACGTTATTTATTTCAAAGGTTAATTATCATAGGGAAGGACGATTTTCTCTGATAACAGGTTTGATTCTTTCAGGCAGGCGAGAACTTGGAAGCTAAAGAGGCGATCGCTTATCAGAATCTTCACCTGTCAAAGGCCGGCCAAGATTTGATCGAGTATGACAGCAATGCTGCAGAGGGCTTGCAGAGCCGCGGTTTCTTCAGGAATATCCGATGTTTCTTCGGCCTGCTGTGCAAGAAGAAAAAGAAGAAGCATCACAAACACAAACACATAAACATACACATAAACGTAGCACATCGGCCAGGCATCACTCACACACTCCAACAGTCGGACATAAACGTACATCACCAGTCCGCAAACTTTAACCTACAACAACAGTCAGAAATAAATGCACAACAACAGTCCACGAACTTTAACCTACAACATCAATCGGACGTAAACATACAACATCAATCGGACATAAACGTACAGCATCAGCCCGGGAGTATTAACATACACGAGTCGGACATAAACGCACTACTGCAGCCCGCAAACATTAATATACAACAGTCTGACATAAACACACAACAGCAGCCCGCAAACGTTAACATACAACAGCCGGACATAAACATACAGCAACAGCCCGCGAACATTAACATACAACAGCCGGACGTAAACATACAACAACAGCCAGATATAAACATACAACAGGAGCCCGCAAACATCAACATACAACAGGAGCCCGCAAACATTAACATACAACAACAGCCGGACATAAGCACACAACAGCAAGCCCAAAACATTAACTTACAACCGCCTGACATAAACATACAACAGCAAGTCCCAAATCTTAACATACAAAAACTACCGGATATAAACTTAGTACATCAGCCCCCGGGTATCGACATGCAAAATCAGCCGGGCATCATAGTACAACGGCCTCAAACCATATACATACAACAGCTGCCGTCGGCAATTCACGTATTGCAACAGCCACTACTGTCCGGCGTACACTTGGTGCAGCAGCAGCTTTTGCAAACCGGACAACTACAGCACCAGGTGCAGCAAGTACATCAGGTGCATCAGGTACAACAGGTACAGCAGGGGCAACAGCCAGACGTGGAAAAGCCTCTGCCGGAGCCGTTGCATCCGCCGCAGATGGCGCGGCCGGAGTTGCGCTCGGGAGCCGTGTTGTCGAGGTCCGCGGCGACCCCGGAGCCGGAGGATGAGGAGCCGGCGTCTGAAGCAGAGTTTGACTTCGACTCCATCGAGGAGGACAGTCCGGACCCGAACGCGCCGGGCGTCGAGGACATCCCCGCCGAATTCGATGCCAGGTCCAAATGGAAACGCTGCGCCAAAGGCATCGCCGACCCCGTCCGGAGCCCCTTCGACAACTGCCTCGCTGATCACGTAAGTATTCTCTCGTTCCCCTTGTAATAGACCGATTCAGTGGCTAGAGCGAACTCCTCGTATGTTGAGACAAAAGTCAAGTGTTGTTTAGGTCACCACTCATCAGTGGTGCCATCTGACTGCATGCATTAACCTGTTGAGTGGTGCTGATTCGGAGGTAATCAGAGATTGACATTTGTCTCAACATACGATGCATTTGACACTCGGGAACACAAAAAAACCAAGAGCCAAGAAAGTCAACCAACAGCTTGTGTTACTTTGTGTTTAACTTTTAAATTCACACAAAATTTTGATTACCTTCTCTTACTGTGTACTCTCTGATCCCCTCTCCCAAAACCACAGTTTTACGTATCTACAGTCAGTGATTAGCGGCTGATTTCAAAAACGTTGAGTGACGCCATTCAGGACGGGAATTTCACTTTTCCATGAAAGTTTGATTTTAAATGTAATACTTTGTGATTTTAGGTGTATTTTTAATGTTTTTAGAAGTTTCATCGCTCGCATTGAATCTCACTTTAACTGAAGTGACACTACTAGTAGAACTAAAAACTCGTACTTGGAGAGAACCGATGATTATTTTGTGTTGATTTTAGGTAACTTCAGTGATATCAGCTCTTCAGGATAGATGGTGCATCCAAAACAAAACACGGCTTCAATTTTCGGCGGCCCGTATCCTAACTTGTAATGAAAACGGCGGCTACTGCAAAGATGGGTATGTATCCATAATCTACCGGCCAGATAATAATAATTCAAACTTTTGCAGGCATTTACACAATAAATGGAAAGGAATTTTTCTTCATCCCGTTTCTTGACGATAGGACTCGAAATGGGAAATACTGTCACATTCTTCCACCTTCAAATGTTTTTCACTTTTCCTCTTTTTCCCTCTCTTTTCTTTTCTCCTCCTTTTTCCCTTCCGAACTTTTCTTGCTCGAAACGAAGAAGGAAAAGCAAAAAATTAGCCTTGAATACTTCGTCGTTTTTCCGCTACCTAACACTCTCAAAACAATAAAAATACAAGGATTAGATATTTTTTTTTAGAATTCTTGTGTTCCATATGAAGGTCAAGGGAGGATTAGATGGCAAGTTACAGAGCCCATCAGGACAGACCTTGCGGAGACTTTGTTGCACGAATATGAGTTCCCTACCGCAGCTCGTTGAAGGAAATGTCTACACAAGTCAGAAAATAAAAATACAGAAATTTAGGCTGACTTCGTTTTTTGAATTAAGAGAAAAGAAATGGGGATAAAACCATGGCCGCACAGCAATAAAAGAGAAAATTATCCTCTAGCCCTTCCCCATTCTTCATCAAAAACTTTTTCACAAAAATAAAAATGTGAAAAATCATTCTTTAATCGGCTTTCTTGCGAAGATTAACTTCAGCAGGATTTAAATTAAAACGCTTCAACATTAGGAGTCTCGATGTCACTTATTACCATTACATCGCACAACAACTATCTACTTATAAAATAATAGCTGTTTCGCATGACTTTCCCACTATTACATACATACGGATAAAATTCACTGATGGCGATATTGTAAGTCATTCTCGCTATTATTTGACTTCTAGACACCTTATTGGTTAATGGTTGTGGCACAGCCGATATATGGCAGAGACGAATCCAGCAGGTTGGCACCTTCATTTAAACCTGTGCTGGATTATCGATTTATGTCAGAGCACCTGGCCCCTCTGTAAAATCGATTCGTATCCATAGATTTAAAGAGAAAGAAAACAATGCTACCAACTTTCTGGATCCGCCGATGACACGTATAATGATATCTACGAATCACCAGACAATCAGTGTGTATCTTGACTTTTCATCCTACAGGTCAGCCAAGTTCACCTACAAGTATTTCCGAGACACAGGCGTTGTGACAGGGAGGCAAGTCGAAGATCTTGGAACAGCGAGTAAAACCGAGGACGGGTGTGTGCCTTACGGTGTGGGTTCTGCCAAAGAAGCAAACTTTACAGTGCCGGACACAAGCACCTGCAAGAGCGCGCAGTGCACAAACGCAGGATACAAGAAAGCTTACTCGAGCGATCTGACATTCAGTAAGTTGATATGAACGCACCTCTTAAGCGCTAGCAAGATGCTTCTCATGCCAAAGTATGGAGAACAATAATCGTTTAACTCTAATTTTATTTTTTTTTGTGGGGTACCGTCGAATTAAACGTTATTCGGTGGCACAGTACTGTCAAATAAAACGTTATTTGGCGGTACAGAAGGCGGAGCGAGTTATTTTTTCTCAAAAATGCTCATTTTCTTCGAGATCAATCGACTATCGCAAACTACGCTACGCCACTGATTCTCATTCCGAGTTGTTGAGTGAGAGATATGATAAACGCTCCGCAGCTCGTGACAAGGTATACAATAAAAATACAATTTAAAAAGCAGGTAAAAAGGCTGAAATTTCACGAATGAAACCAAAAAGTTTCGAAAGCTCAGCCTTCCTTAGTTGGATTAATAAAAAGAAAAATGGTAAAAATCTAAAATAGTACCTGGCTGTACCTTTCAAAGCGAGAAGCGAGCGGGTGTCATAACGACATTCTCTCTTTGAAAGGTACAGCCAGGTACTATTTTAGATTTTTACCATTTTTCTTTTCATTCATCCAACTGAGGAAGGCTGCATTTTCAGCCGAAACGTTTTGGTCTTATTCGTGAAATGGTCTTGTTACCCGCTTTTTAAATTGTATTTTTATTGTTGTTCCCTGGTAAAAATTGGCAGTAGAATCTGTGATCCAAAATACCATAGACCTACAGCCGGCTGTAAGATTTCCAATAGCTTCTATAGCGGGCTACACAATTTCTCATAGCCTTTTATAGCCGATGGCAAACAGCCAGGCGATAAAGTATATGCTAAATGTTACTAATTACGGATGCTAGGACTTAGTTAGTTTTTTGAATACTGCTCTCTTTTTGGGCCGTAGTATTTTGATTTATTTTGCGAGGAAAGATCCGTACTTTTGATGGATGCCTGCCATTCTTAATATATTAGAGCGCCTTCAGTTTCGTATGATACTGTGCAATACCTCTGGTGTGAAATAGTTGCTTCAAGCGCCGTGGCAGGAGGGCGTTGCGCAATGCGTGAAGTATCCCTGTTAGGTTTGTAGGCGCCAGTGCGTCGCCGCTCCGCTTTGTGTTAGGCTCTAATATTTAATCTGGCGGAGTCAGCGTTATTCAACTCATGATTTTGAAATGTTTGCACATCCTATATGCATTATTCTCATTTTAATTGATGAAAAAAATATGTATTAAAGGAAAATATAACGTGTGTTTTGTAAATATTAAGCTGGTTCCGTATCAAACTTAATGATTTCTAAAGCACACGAATTTCTACACAATTTCTTATAGCCTTTTATAATCGATGCAGCGAAAAAGCAACAGTCAGGCGATAAAGTGTAAAGCCCGGCGATAGGAACTATAGCCCGGCTGCATAATTTTTTATCGCTTCGTATAGCCCGGCCGTATGATTTTCTCCGCATTCTACAGCCAGCTATATGAATTTCTGTAGCCTTCTTTAGCCGGCTATAAGAATTCCTATGGTATTTTGAAACGCAGCTCTTATCGCCAATTTTTACCAGGGTTGAGTGTACAAATGAACACGGAGCAAGTGTAGGTCTCTCATGCTGTAATTGTTTTTCGCGAGAAAATTCAGACGTAACTGCTCACAATTTTGCTCATTTTGATTTATAATTGCCATGAACCCGCATCGACTGATTTTGATACGATTTTAATGCTAATTCCAGTAAAGAAATTCTACCGTGTGGAGCCGGAGCCACGCGTAGTGGAAACTGGCGGATTTTTGGGCTACTCCGCTAACGGCATCAAGTTGGACATCCTTACATACGGCCCCGTCACGGCAACCATGCAGTTTTATGAGGACATCCTTTTCTACAAAAAAGGTACAATGAGAAAAGTGTTTAAATTCTTGGAGGCTGCTCCACCTGGACGCTGCATGGCTCAACTCGTAGAGAAGGCTTCGCGCCCTTGAAGAATCAATTTCTGTGTCTTTAATAAGAAAAATCCAGGGAAACAGGCTCTGCTCGTCCAGAGGTTAACTGGACGTACTTCTATCAAACAGGACTAAGTGAAGGTGAGAAATATGGGGTGTGCTCTAGAAAGCTGGATAAGAAACAATGTGGTCAGTGGGCGTGATCCCTTTTGTAGAATTGGTAAAGCGGGATTTTAAATTCAGCAAACAGAACTATGTGCCAACTGAATACGGGATATATGAGCCGCGGGCATGGGATGAGAGCGATGTGGACAGGGCTCATGAGTTAATGACTTACGAGGAGCCCCGACGACGGCATCCATCTCCGTTGACGTCACTGGCGCTTTATTATTCTCATTCACTCTTACGGCCAGAGAACTAACGAGCACACCCTATATTTTTCACCTGCACGTAAATTTGTTTGATAGAAGTACGTCCAACTTATGCTGGCAACCGCAAAAATTATGGAAATCTGTCCGATAGGTCTCTAACTATGATCAAAAAATGAAAGTGTATATCGTTTAAATCGTCGATCCTCCGACGTAAGGACGTAAGGGCGTAAGTGGTTTCGTACTTAAAACACAATTAAGTCAAGATAAGGGTATGTCCCTACCGTGTGCTTGTGTTGTTTTTCTTTTTATTTGCTTAGTGACACGTAATTTTCTGATCGTTGCAGGAGTTTACAAACCAATACCGGAAGCGCAACGCATCGGCGAAATAACCTTGAAAATCTTCGGTTGGGGTGTTGAAAAAGAAGTCGAATACTGGTTAGCCACGAACATCTGGAAGAAGGATTTCGGTGACGGAGGCATAATTAAGATCGAAGCTTTCAACCCTAAGCTGAAACTTGAATCGGGGATTATTGGTGGTAGATTTGAGGGGGTGCCTTTTACTGGATCAAAAGATGACCAAGGCGCTCGTAGCGTTAATCCGAGCAGCGGAAACAAAGATTGCTGCTAGAACGCTTTTGCTCAAAAGTCACATTCACATTTCACGAAAGCCTCGATAACTCGACATTGCAAAGCGAGCCACCTAATAAGTGGCACTTTAAAATTTGTGTAAAATTCCTGAATTCATTAATGTCGTAGAATAATGCCAAATCAATTATTTTGTTACACGTCTCTATTATTCTTCCTCCGATTGGTAATTTGAGATTTAAATTATTTTTTTAGCAGAAACTGCTTTAAAAAGTAGATTGATGTAAGTCTTCTCTGAAATGGCTGATCAACTCATGATTTTTTCCTGTGTTCTTCAAACAGTAAGCTTGAGTGCAAAGGAGGGTGCATTGCAGAAAACAATTCTTGAATTGGCTGCTAAGAAATATTTTGTCTTAAATCAAGAATGATGCTGCTTAATTAGAGCTACATTTTTTGCTTAACCCAAGAATTTTTTCTTTGTTCTTGGAATAACTCTGGAAGGAAAAAATTGTTGGCCGCAAATTCAGGCATTGTTATGCTAGAGTCACGCGATTTTTTCCAATGTAAATTTAATGCTTTCTTCATTGGAAAGTACCTTTAGCAGACTTTAAATAATCCCACTACGCCATCACATATGTACGGGAGTTATTCATGAATTGCTAGAAAGCAGAGGTATCCTCTTTCTGAAGTTACCACCAGCTCTTGGAAAGCTAAGATCTATTGTGTTTCTATGGTTTCACAGATGACATGAAACTTTTGACATGTTTTCTGTGGATGAATTCAGACTCTTCACCGATAGCCATTTTTTCATTCGAAACATGACGTAACAAGTGAGGATTTGAGGCAATTTTTTTTTAAACCCCGCACTAAAAATCCATGACAAATGTTAAGTTCGAAAATCAACGTCATTTTTCTCCTAATGATGATTGCGAGGCGACTTGTTGAGTACATGGACAACGGAGTGAGCACTCTACTAGACAAGTTTTTGAAAAATAAATTAGTGTTGCTGAATCAATTACTCAGCACTTGGCAATTGGTCATCAATGAGCAAATCTAAGCGTTGACTTCCGAACATAACTTCACGAAAAATAGAAGGGTTGCCTCTATCATGATACTCTTTCGCAGCTAAAGCTAACCTCCATTGAATGTTCGTAACTTTCTGCAATAACAAACTAGAGAATCAAAGAAATTTTACTTAAACATTTGTCTACTTCTTGTTTGTGTTCTAGTGGTATTGTCTTCATTACGTATGATTACTATTAAATAGAACTGTGCAAATAGTGATAACTAATATAGTCGCTTCCGGTCCATAGTGATGTTATTATGTGGCAATAGTGTTGTGAACGTTTACTTCTCCGAATGTTGAAGTTTGCGATTGTTTACTTCTTCAAATGCAAAAGTTTTATAAATGGAAATTTCGACTGTCAAAAGTCACACCATACCTCTAAGATTACCTCCGGGTTCTGGCTCCTCTAATGATAATCTACCCTATCTCGTCTTGAAACCAACATGGATCAGGTTTTTTTATTTTCTATTGATTTTAACCCTTAAACACCCAAACCGAGTCAAACTAACCCGAGGTTTGCTAAAAAGACGTCGGTATATGTACGAGCTTTAGATGTACGTCTACAAATAAATCGTGAAAAAGGACCAGAAATCAAATTGAAAAAAAGTGTCAGGGATTTCGTTTGCAAACTACCCATAGAAAGTCCAATCAGGCTCAAATTGACCCAACTACCTCTTACAGGGTGCGATTTTTCAATGTAGGTCTGGAAATACATCCTGAAAAATAATCGGAAATCAAATTGAAAGAAAAAAATATTGTGCTAACACAGCCGAAAAAGGAAAAACGTAATCGGACCTCGCTTTTTAACTTTTCTCTCGAATCTAAGTGACACCTCATTGGCAGCATAGAGCGAAGCGTTGCGACGCGAGTTCATGTCTCGGGCCATATCGCCTTCAATTTTGCAGACGCAACACGGACATCCATCAAGTACGAATAGTTGTATCTCTGCGCCGTCATTAACGCGCATCCGATACCTTGCTCTACTTCCATATTATGTTGGTTCCGTTTGTCTTATTTGTAGTGGTGATTCAAGGGCTACGTGACCAATACAGCCGAAGGTAGAAGAGCCGTAATCGGGCCTCCTTTTTGACTTTTCTCCCGAATCTTAGCAAAATTTCATGGACAGCATATTGCAGAGTGTTTTGCGTTAGCGCCCTGGGCCATTGCGCCTTCAATGTTTGCAGATGCGACACAGATATTTACCAAGCACGAATAGTTGTATCTCTGCGCCGTCATGAATGACATTTGAGGTGTTTCGTATTTTGAAATTTGAGAAAAGTTAAGGTTGAGTTTGCTCAAAATATGCAATGATGTGTCCAACTCAATAACCATTTTCAACGACAACAAAAATAAGAATAAAATAAAAAGAAATAAAAATATAAATTAGAGGTCAACCCTGGAAAAGCGGGGGAAAAAAATTAGGTAGTACACATACACAAGATCTGGTTGGAAACATCGAATGCATCCATCATTGAATGACGTAGTCAATGTCTAAGTTAAAACCTAATAAGTCTATTTTCTGACAAACTCTAAATCCCCACTCCACATGAACGTTTATATTCTAGAGACTATTGGATAATACTTAGACATGTTTAGTTTTAACAAAGACCAATTTTTATGGTGACTGAACCTATGAAATCAGAAATACGGTGTAACTTGAAGGTCCTCTGAATACATAGCGTGGATGTAATGGTTCTAACTGTGCACAGAAAGATTCGACTACCCCCTCCCACGTCATTGAAAAATTAATACTGAGAGGCAAAGAACTTTAGTTCGAAAAATATTTCAAAGTTTGGAGATCTTTGCAATTCATTTGTGTTGGCAGTGCTTCAAATCCCTGCATTCAATAATTTTGTTATTACAGATGCTGGTAAAATGCCGATGAATCAAGGACCAATTTTGAAAATGGAATTTTAACGATGCAAGTCTTAAATCTTCTTTCGCCTCCTATCTTACTTTTAACTTTTCCTTCGAAAGATAACGCCCGATCCATCGAAAATCAGTCAAGAGGAAGACGGCCCAGAAAAAAAATGGTTCTACAGAATTGCACTTTGATTCTGCTTTGTTACACTTTAATTTTCCGTGCAGATCGAAGAAAATGTAAATTAACATTGAAAAAATCACACGTTTTTGAAAACGAAAAAAAGAAACAGAAATAATTCAAGATAACGACCATAACGGTAGATATGGACATCTATGCGTAACGGCGAATATAATTCGAGGAGATTCAATGAAAGACGAAAAAGTTTGGTTAAAATTTTGAGAATAATCGCGCCATTGAAGAATCATTGCTGCATCTATGAGAACATTTCGACTAGTTAACAATAGAGCTTTTATTTTAGCTTCTTAGTGTTTGCCGTGTATGCCTCGCGTACAATGATTTCAGAATCTTATGCCGCGTGATTTTACTGAGAAATACAACGAGGAACAAATCTCATTTTCCCCCTTCGGTCAAATTGACATTGAAAAGACTTCATTATTTTTACTACTGGTGTTGTTTAAAAAAAATATGAATCCCCCGAGGATTTAAAATTCGCCGCTAAATACCTTCCAGTGGTCAATCTTTCGTCGATTTGGACATTTTCAAGAACGCTAATTTTGTGATCAAACTGTGGTTGAGTTATGGGTCCTGAATGAAACACGTCATCACTATACTTTGCTTGATCGCAAGAGTTGACGCATCACCTACCAATTTTTTTTTCCTATCAAATGCGTTCATCGAAGAAATAAACTCGAAACAGGACTCCTGGGAGGTAAGTGTCATTTAATACTTACACAAGGAAAAAAGAAAGAATAAAAAGAGGGGGGAAAATTTGACCACACATACTTTCGAATGGCTACATACTTTTGGCTTCACTGGGAAAGGAATCGGACAGATAATAGAAATTTGTTATAAGAACTGTATACTGGAAATCGATAAATCTGTTCTTTGAATCAGTTGATAAAAATCGATGTATGAAATGAGGGCGAAAACAAGGAAAGAGGAATGCATTGAAAGACCCTCCGAAAGACCAAATAATAACGGACCGATTTTATATATCGTAGACTTTAACTTTGAAGTTCATCCCACTCTTTTCTGCATAGAAAATATCGATATAGGACCGCCCATTAAGAAAAAGATCTTCGTTTTGTCAAACTAAAAATCGAGCCAATGCAAACACTCTAAAAATGAATATTTAGTGAATGTTTTAGCACCATGGAAGTGTTAGAATTTCCGATCAAATCAGCATTACGGTTTGGAATGAGCAGGTCAAAAGACTTAGTTTGGGGACAAAAGCTACTTAAAGGTTAAATTTATCATGTTCGATGCTTAAAATTGTCGTATTACGTTCTTTGTGCTGCTGTGCTGAGGAAGAACACCGTATGAGCCATTCATTATTCATGCAATATTTCTTTCGATTAATCATGAATTTTCAGGCACCTTTATGAAAATCTCTCCTGATTTTTAAGAGGATTTCTCTCGCAATTCAATTTAAAAAGTCAGAAAATTTTAAGGAAATATATACTTATAACTTTCTTCAAAAATAACAAATTTCTGAGAGGAAATTCGGCAACATTTGAATGCTTACACGGCGTTTTTACATAGCACGGTAGTATAAGGGCATTATGATAAACTGAACTACTTGTAATTTATTCTTTGGGATACTAGAGAGAGTCAAACATCCGTCAAAATATTTTACCCAATTTCAAAATAATTTATCTATTGCAAAATGCGACTCCAACGGATGGAGGTCCGCTTTCTCGTGAAGGGTCGGAGACTATCTTTTTGACATTGGGGAGTAACTTTGTCCCCAGTTTCAGTTAGACATGGGATGATTCTGAAATTTTCAGGCTGGAAGAAATTTTGGTGAAGATGTGTCGTTAGTCGAGCTGGGACTGCTGACTGGGACGTTCATGGAGGGTCGAAAGAAGGAATTGCGGCTCGTCAAGACATTCGATCCAAAATGGCCGGAACGAGATCAAATACCCAAAAACTTCGACGCCCGTCAAAAATGGCGTAAAATGTGCCCCAGGATCGGAGAAGTGGTAGACCAAGGACGCTGCGGCTCTTGTTGGGTAATATATGGACTGCATATTGCAATTTGGACCTATAAATTCTGGCTCATCTGAAATAACACTTATGTGAATAGGGAAACTAATAGCACATACGTTGTTTTTAAACCGGGCCGGAATTTATAGTTCCTAATTGCAAAATGTAGTTCATATAAAACAGACATGATTTTTTCATTGTACATGCACGTGACGGTTCACGGGTAGTTTAACTCTAGTCCACGGATGCTACATTTTCAGTAAGGGGCTAGACTGAAAAGTTGAATATAAACATTTCGACAAGAATTGCTTTTTAGTATCAAAAGAATTCAAAAATTGAAGTTATCCAAAAAATGTTGGGTTAAATTCGTTATCGAATCAATGACAGAGATCGCACACTTGCGGAGTGGGGCACTAGGTAAGGTATGAATTAACAAACCACGTAAACTGATTTCTCTCGAAAATGTCATGAGGAAAACAAATCGCACAATGGGAAGTCTGAAAATTGAACCCTACAGATATGAGAAAAAAAAACAAGATATGAGTCTTAACAATGAACACTAGTTAAATGGTAAAAATATAAATGACGTCAATTGTATGGCCCAACTTCCATTTGATCTGTGTTGAAAATATACTCCTTGATATCTCGTTCATGATTTTTTGTTCCCGGAATTCCCGGCGTGTAAACAGTGTTTTAAGTATGACTTTGAAGAGGTTACGCCTCCTTCTAGTTCAGATTTGTTTAGTCGCCCATTGATACGGTAACTTTGAGCTCTGAGCAAAAATCGAAAGGTATACATTTAAATAGCGCGTTCTCGAGACTATATTTGAACTATATCTTTGAACTGGGAACTTCAATCCGGCTCAGTTACGGTTTGATTGAACATTTTCGAGGCTCCATAGACGCCTGTGTTTGCGGAATGCACGCTTATATACTTTGGTATCAATAACTAAATATTACGTTTCTGCGGATTTAGGTCGATCCATTTCCCGTGATTGATCTCAAAAAAAAGTTCAACTTCTAAATTTTTTATAGAATTTTAATCATTCAACGAACTACACCGCAAATTGGTTAAATGCAAAAATCATCAAGGATGAGGCGTGAATGATCGATTATCGATATTTTTCCATTTGAAGCTATGGTAAAAGATCGATTATTAAGGTGTTTGTTGGGAACACCCGGTTTCTCGATCCTTTTCCATAGGTTTAATAATGGTAGATCAATCGATATGTCGCAAAGCGCTTCACGCCACTATAAGAATGTTAATCAGGACTGAAGAATACCTCTTTTGTTACAATTTCAGGCCATCTCTGCGGCTGGCTCTTTTACCGACAGATACTGTATCGCCACCAATGGCAAGCATCAGATGCGGCTATCAGCAGCAAATGTTCTCTCCTGCTGCCATGACTGTGGTGATGGATGCGACGGAGGGTAAGGATCAATACGATATATATCGATTGATCTGCCATTGAAACCTACGGAAAAGGATCGATAAACGTGTTCGCAACCAACACCTTGATGATCGATTCTTTACCACGGCTTCAATTGGACAGATAATTGATAATCGATCACTCACGCCCCACCTCTGGTAAAGACTTTACGAGCATGAACCATTCTGTGCTAGGGTTTTCCATCATGCAATGGCTCTCAGTAAAATACAAGATATCTTAGCAACTGTAAACTAGTTATCGAAGAATAACAGATGGGTGTAAGAAGAGCGTCCTTCCAATTGAGACTACCAGTAAATGAAAGAAAAAAAAAGTGCAGTTTTTCTAAAAAATAATTGAAAAATTGGTGCTTTTTGGCAAGATAACCCAAAGCTAACTTCATAAAAAAAAATTATCTGAAAAACTCAAAATTCAGTGCCACAAACATTAGTTCAGACTTTTCATGAGCCAAACCATGTGTCCTGCAGCAATTTTTTAGATTATGTATTTTACTCGAAATCACAAAATTACTTTTTCATTCAACTATGGCTTAAATTGCTTTTGTTAACCTTGCATTGAAACTCCATGAAATTTCACCCCTTTGCTAGATACCCCTCCACTCCATGCGGCATGAAAAATCTAAATTTTTGGTCGATATTACCAGAAATGCGTATAGAAAGTTACTTTAAATAATCGTCTCTACCCACAATTATTGGGTGGGGTCACGCAATGTCATTCCCCTACTCCATCCCATCACGCGGGCTTGGATTCTCACCAAACCCTTTAAGTGTACCGGAATTTCCGGACGACTCACATAATGACGTTGAGATAAATCTTATGCGTTTGTGCACATGATACCGCCTCCCACGTAGCTGGGAAAAACGAAAGGAAAATCCCATACCAGATGAAAACTGTTTTTTGCCGTTTGTTTTTCCAATACATGTATGGCTGAAAATTTCGAGTTGGATTCATTTGATTTCAGATTTGATTTCACGTGAAACTAAAGTAAATATTGTATTTATGCATCACAGGTGGGAGCATTTGGCTTGGGGCTACTTCAACAAGCACGGTTTACCGACCGGTGGTAGGTGGAACACAACAGAGGGCTGCCAACCGTACAACATCCCATCTCCATGCAAACGCAGTTACAACAGGCACTGCCCTTACAAAACCTGCCCAATGTACGACGTAACGCCAAAATGTCAGACTCGCTGTACCAACGAAGCATACGGAAAAACATTGAGAAAAGACCGTCACTTTAGTAAGAATGAATACAGAGATAACATATTAACTAACTAACAGAGAAACAACAAACAACAACAACAACAACAAGCTGGCTGTAGAAAGCGGAGCAAATCATATGGACGGGCTATACAAAACTATAAAAAAGTATGCAGTCGGGCTATAGTTCCTATCGCCGGGCTTTACACTTTATCGCCATTGGCTATAAAAGGCTGTTTTTTCATCAATTAAAATGAGATGGTCCATACAGAGTGTGCAAACATTTCAAAATCATGAGTTGAAAACGCTGACTCCAAGAGATTAAATATTAGAGCCTAACACAAAGCGGAGCGGCGCGGCGACGCATTGGCGCCTACAAACCTAACAGGGATACTTCACGCATAGCGCGGCGACGCACTGGCGCCTACAAACCTAACAGGGATACTTCACGCATTGCGCAATTCGAGCGTGCCACGCAGTTCGAGCGTGCCACGCAGTTCGAGCGTGGCACTATGGGAGATTCTTGGGGATTTCTTTTGAGCATACGGGAGACTCCAAAAAACGATTTGGTCACAAATGGGTGTATTTCTGCCAAAAGGAAATTTGTGCACTATGACGAAAGGCCTGTTTATTCATATAATTCTTATGGGTCGCAGGGCTCATGTCTGAATGGACATAGTTCCGTTTGGCAGAAATAGGTCCATATGATCTTCAATAAATACATATTTTTTCGAATCTCCCGTTTTCGATCTCTAATAAATGTATGGACTAAAAATTGCACTTATTTCGGCCAGTACATCAGGCGCAAATTCCGACCCTTTCCTTTGTTTGTTATCAGCATTTGACCATCCATTTTTAGGAATATGAGACAGTTGCTTTCGACGTTCAAGATATTGTGTGCTTTTTTTCAGGTGGAAAGGAGTACGCTCTGCCGAAAGATGAGAGGGCTATCATGAGAGAAATCATGACACATGGCCCAGTGACAGCAGCCTTCATAGCGATGTACGATTTCCCACATTATAAAAAAGGTAATCTCGACTGAACCGAACGCCCGACACGGAGAAAAATCTATGGCTTTTTAACCAATTACTGTTCATATGGATCACCACTAATAGTCGAAAATGAACTAATGATTCTTGGTCTGTGAACCATACCTACCAAGGTATCTCGTGCCATACTAAGGTATACCATCACTAAGGTAAATAAGCTATTATTATACGTTGCCATTACTACAATTAATGGAATACTATTGGTATACACTCATTGTAAATGGTTTATAAGCCATAGCTTTTCCTCAGTGGAATATAAAACTATAGCGAGAGGTTCAGGGCATATGCAAGTTAGAATTAATGAGCATGCGAGATAATTTTACCATGGTGAAGTTTGATCATCTCATTTCAGGACATGATTTTAGAAGGCAACGACTAGAGTTTCGGTTTCAATAAGCCTCAAGGAAACCAAAGAAACATACCTGAAACATGCGCAAAGAAAATATAAAATTAAAGTGGGCCACGCCAATTTGTCGATGGAGGAGAAAATTATGTAAAATAAAAATAAAGTGATTCATTTTTTCAAGGTAAGTAACTTGATAGAGAGAGGATAAACATCTTGTTCCTCCACTTTCCATAGAGGCGGAAGCCTTAGTACCTGCGAATGGTGGCGCTTTGTTTTGGTTTTGGAGGATGGGAGGGCGCGGGGGATCGTTGCCAACTTTTGACATCGCTCACCAACCGCACTTGCTACCAAACTTAGTATACCCAAGATGATGTTTCTCGAAATTAGCACACAATTAGCCGTTATATAAATGCGTCGTAATAATGCATTTGAGCAAAATTATTGTTGCGACATTCAGATAAAACTAGATTTTAAGCCATTTTGTATTTACACTTACTTACAGCGTCCGCCATTTTTGGGCCCCAAGAGCTCCCTACAGCTCAAGATGGAGGAGACAATCAAAAGTAACGTGGCGACATACTCTCTCTATCAAGTTACAATAGTTCAAGGTACGCTGTGGTATGACATCGAGCAACACTGTCGTGCTAAGGAAGAACGTTCCTTATGAACATTACGTTCCTCACTATGAACATTCGAGAGTTGCCAAATTTCCCTTGACAAAACATGTATTTTTCACGACATTCATGCACATTTTTCTCCGAAATTTTCAGATATTTTAGATTAAATTGCGTACAAAATGGTCTGAAAATTTTGGGAAAAAATACTCACGATTTTCCTTGCAAATTCGGTATTTATCGAAGGAAATTTGGCAACGTCTGATGGCTCATACGGCGTTCTTCCTTGGCACGGCAGAACAGACCCATATACTACGTCTGTCAAGCGACTTCTTACACTGATTGACATATTTTCTAGGAGTCTACATGCCGACGGAGGGCGCAGCGCCACTCGGCGGGCATGCGGTGAAGGTGATTGGATGGGGAAGTCACAGAAACAAACCCTATTGGCTTGTCATGAACTCGTGGAATCAATATTGGGGCGATCGCGGCGTCGTCAAGATGATGAGGAACCATCCTTCGATCAATCTGGAGGACGAGTGTTGGGCTGCAATTCCAGATCTTAAAAGGAGGAAAACCTGCGACGATGAAGTAATATGGGACGACATCTGGGATTAGAAGACATGACAACAGACATGAGCGTCAATTGGATTGCATTTTGCAAAAAGGAACCAAGAGGATTATAACGTTGCTACGATTATGCAACTTCTTTTGTCTTCAAAGAAAAACTCTGATTATCTATAAACATTTTCTATTCTACTCGCTAAAACCTGTAACTTTAAGACAAAATTACCGCATAAATTTCATATTTTTTTTTATGATTACAGTAGTTTTATTGCAAAAGGTGAAGTTGCACAATTTTAGCAACATGGCATTGCTCCTGGTTTCTTTTTGCAAAATGCAATCCAATTACGACTCTGATGGTGAAAATTTCTAAGCCTTAACACGGAAAAATCTCGACAGTGAAACTCTTAAACTACATATCTCGTTTGCGGTGTTTCAAAATCTCCTCTCCCGTTGTATTTTGTTTTAAATTGGAACATCGCAACATTATTTCTTGAAATTTTCACCGAACACTCTTCGGCAAAGTGAAGAAAAGTCACAGAAGGTAAAAGTTGACGTGTAGTACCTCTTCATGCGAATAATAAAGTATTGCAGGACGTCTGCTACGTCGCAACCCGAGATATCCGGTTTGGGAGTTTCACTGTCGATATGAAGTCACGGTTCATCGTGCGATATTTAAAGGAGAATATGAAGGGAGAGGCAAAAAATATCGATAAAAACAAGTTAAGAGACACGCAGGGATATTATTTGTGTGTGAAAAACAATAGAGCTGGCGAAAAAAATTGGCTTAGACTTTAATTACGATTTTAAGAACACATATCAATTAACCATATTGTAGTAGTAGTTAATTGTTTTATATTTTTACTCGTATTCTGTATAACAATACCTACAGTTTTCGTCGATACATCCTTACTTTTTTAGTGATATATAAACTGAAAGATTTCTGTTCGAGGAACCAAAGATTTTTCAGCTGAATTCGATTTAAAATCGAGCAAAAATGCTATTTTCCTCAAACATCGAAGGAGACCATCCGCATTAGATATAGTTGAAGTACGAAACTGAGACGGCTCCCTTTACAAAACGAAGAGTTCAGAAGTAGCTATAAATGCGCCCTCCAGCTTTTTATTAGGGGAATATGATTATTTTTCGATGGAATGAATTCGCGAACTTTCAAAATGAATGCTTGTCCTGGAACTCAATATTCTGAAAATGCCACGACAAATCCTTCGAAAATCATTTAAATACTTAACGTGCGCCTCCCCAGCGTACTCGAGGTTTCAAGATCAATAGGTCAATGAGAGAGCGGTGCGTAGACTTATAAACGTATGATATACAATGCAAAATACGCACATCCACATTGACAGAACTGGGTCATTGCATGGCTGTGTCAATTTAAGTTTATGGACTCAATATTCACTATCGATCAATTCACTTTTTTGTGCCCATTTCACTTCTCGAGTGCTCTTTCTTCAGATATGGGGCATCTTAACACGTGCGCTATTCTTACATATAGAGACTCATATGGGGCACACAAACAAATACAGGAATATTCGTGGTATAGCGCCCCAAAGAGGCCGCAAAAAGTCAACAAGAATTTTACTACCTTGCTAAAAAAGAATGCCGTGAGAACATTTTGATTTTTCTGGATGCCCCCGGATGCAACTTATAATTTGGGGAAAGATAATAATTTTCTTGGAAAGTTCTAGATACGTTGGATTTAATGGAGATGTTGCATATGTGAGGAATTTGCGATTTGACTGTTGAATCTTATGTAAAAGTTCGCGAGAAACACGATGGTGCCACTGGTTTTCTCTGAAATCAACTCCCAAGCTCAAAAAAAGGTCTCAAGTTGAGGCCAAAATGGAGGAGATATCCCACCGTACCCTGAGAGACCACGTCTACATCAAGACAAACTCTCCATGTAAAGATAGGGGAGCAAATACATTGACAGTGCTGCCACTTTATTTAGGGACTCCAAAACTGAAAACACGGAAACCCTGCTAATGTATTTGCTCCCCATCTTTGCATGGAGAGTTTATCTTGATGGAGAGGTGGACTCTCAGGACAGCGTGGGATATCCTCTCCATTTTGGCCTCAACTTGAGAGCTTTTTTTGAACTTGGGAGTTGATTTCAGAGAAAACCAGTGGCACCATCGAGTTTTTCGCGAACTTTTACACAGAAATCAACAGTCAAATCGCAAATTCCTCACACATGCAACATCTCCATTGCGAATAACATCCTCCAATTTTAGCGAAAAAAGTTCGCAAGTTTTCAAAAAAATCATGTTTAATCAAGAGAGATGCGATGAGCGCACGTTCATTCGACGTTTATCCGTAACAAGGCAGAATAAGTTGAAAAGGTAAAATTCAACAAGCCTGGTCGCTGCGATATCAGTCATGGTAAAACACGGTGGATTAAAACTTCGCAGATGCACTTTTAAATGAAACTGAAATTTTTAGGGTGTATTTTTACATTAAGAAGACAAACTAATAGTTTTGTTTCCTTTCATACTAACTGGGTCTCCAAGAAAATGCACCACCCACCACGTAACTCCTAAAATAAAGTTAGGATAAAAAATGCATAAATCAACAGGGATTTATAACGGTGAGAGAAGCTGGGATCAAAAAATCTTGAATGGATTCTCATTTTTTCCAATGACTGAATAAATACTATCGATGCACTCCTTAAATTTTAAGGTGTGGCATTCCTCTCAAATTAAGTTGAGAGAATCCCATCAGCTTGCGAAAAAATGACAGTTTTTTAATATTTTTTTAAATTTTAATAGCCTGAGTTCACGCAGTTTCGATCCTACGCACTTTAAGTTCCTCTTCAGTCTCTAGCACCACAAAGATTTTTGCCTTTGAGGGCTAAAGCCCTTCTCTTTGCACATGGTCAGAAATTTACTGAGAGGAAAGATAAACAGAAATTGTTTCAGACTAGAAAGAATATCAGTCAGAGGCACGTACTATACTAACTTTGCATCGTGCATAAAATCATTATAGACGCCACTTCAATATTTCTTATATCTGCTGAAAAGACTTTGATGTGAACGTACGCTTTACTTTGCAATCCTCCGTTTACTTTACATTTTCAAGAATGAATTATCAGAGGGGTACCTCCTTCATTCAATCTCACGTGCAGATCATTCTCAAACAACGCTAATCGTTCTCATATCGCTTTTCTGGAGCACCTGATTCGCTTAAATTAGAGACGCAAATAAATGACATCAAAAAAGAGCAGAGCTCTGTGGATTCTTTTTCTTCTTTGAATTTGATCATATTTCTGGAAAACTTGAAGTGATCAAGTGCAACTACTTAAAAAACACTCCATCTGAGCGTCAGCACGAAGAATATTCAAGTAGTGTGGAGACATTATCTTCAATAAATTATTTTTATTATTATCGAGAGGGTCTCAAGTTAAAGCATTAATAGCTGAAATCAGAGCGAATGTCTTCAGACCTGTCTCGTGCTCTCGATTGAGAGCACCCATTGTGAATAAATTTACCCATCATTTTTTAAGAATCAATTTTGAACTCATCCCTAAAGATCTGAGGCCACACCAGTGCCAAAATGAAACTCATTATCCTTTCTGCGTGCCTTTTTGTGCAATTAAGTGCTTCTTTTGCTAGTAATGCTCATTTTCTGTCTGACGATTTCATAGCGGATATCAACTCTAATCAAGACCAATGGGAGGTAAGAGCTCTTCTTGCAGTGTCAATAGCTATATGTAAATTAGTCATGTTGAAAATTAATGTAACCAAAGGTTTTTTCGCAGAGGAAGAGAACAAAAACTTTACATCATGAACGATGCGTCAAATGTAATAAACGAGGGCATTAAATGCGTTAAGTGCCATGGCCAAATTTAGCAACTCTGTTCATACTTTATTGAATGCATGAGTAAATTTAATAACACATATTTTGAGTTTCTGTATACGTGATGACCTGAGAATGTGATTTTGGCTGTAAAAAAATTAATTGAATGTTAGTTTGTGTGTAGTAATTCATGGCCATCAATTATTTTCCAAGTTTATTTTCATAGAAATTTTAACTAAGTTTAAGTATTAACCAGTTAATTTTTGCAAAAAATAAGAATATGACCCATACAGGTAATATTTGCTATGTAAAACACATCCAATTTTCGAAAATTTTGTAATCCTTGTAAGACAAACATATCACCGCAAAAGATACGAGTCAAGCTGAACAAAATTTTTCCCCCTCTATTGTGTGAAACTTAAGCGGCTCTGAAGAAAACTTCAGCGAGGAGAAAAAATTACTTCAGATAGAGAAACTTAAATACGTTAATTTGGTGCTCGACTTGATTTAAGTGGAATTTAATTTTTTTATGAGCGGAGACTTAGACTGGATAATCCAAAAAAAGCCATTTTTTCTTTAAAAAAAAAAAAAAAAATTAGTTGAATTTGCAAATTTCTTGTGTAGCCACTATTTCACACGTGGAATTTTGATTATGAAACATTCATTACGGCCCTTCATCGGTTATCCTATCTAGTGGCTCAATTTTAACCCTGAAACAAGAAATCTGCAACGGGTTCACAGAAAAGCGCTCGCTAAAAGTGTGGTTGCACCAGCCAGAGGTATGGTTGAGTAAACCATATATGAGGGACTTGGAGGTCAGGGCGCATAAGTGCGGTTTTTGCTATTTCGAGAAATATGTGCTTGAAGTTTCCAGAGATACGTAGATTCTTAAGGCGGGGAGAAAGTTCAAACTGACTTTCTAATGCTTAAAAATTGATGCTTGGAACCGATTTTCGCACAGAATATGAATTAAGACTACTTTCCTTGAAATCGTTAGAAAACCTCAATTTTTTTTCAAAAACTGCACTTTTGCGCATTGTCCTCCAAGCCCCTCATTTCTTATTGACTCAACCATACCTACCATGACCATACCTGATGTGATCACACTCTTAACTAGCGCCCTAATTTATCTGTTAATCGGGTTAAAACCGTGTGAAGCTGACCTTCTGAAGAACAGATACACCAAAAAAAAGTGATGTTGATTTAACATTCTGGATGTAAAAAATGTGTGCGAGAACTTACAAACTGCTGAATTACTCGCTACATCAGTTAGTCTTACATCTTGACATTGCTAAAGTAACTGCTGAAGCGGTTAATTTAGAATTTTGAAAGTTCTTGCACACTTTTTTTACATCCAGGATGTTAAATCAACATCACTTCTTTTTCGGTGTAATTTAAAATGTTTTTTAACTTGCAGGCTGGCAGAAACTTCGATCCGAATACTCCTTTGTCGGAGATAAAAATCCTCCTGGGTGCAATAATGGAGGGTAGAGAGAGGAGACCGGAGATGGTCAAGACTTTCGACCCGCTGTGGCCGGAAAACAAGAAGATTCCGAAGAGGTTCGACGCCCGGAAGAAGTGGCACAAGAAGTGTCCCAGGATCGCCGAAGTTCTCGACCAAGGACGCTGCGGCTCTTGCTGGGTGAGTCGTCTTAAACTTCAGGCAGCCTTAAGAGTAACAAGATGGATGACGTCATCCACAGAAATAGTGAATTCTATTGTACCCCTCCTCTCTGCCCTACCTATTTCGTCGCACCTCTAACGTTAGGGCGTATCTCGATTTGCACATGAGCCCCAGAAAGCACGGATTTATATGGAGAACAGGGCTCAAGTGCGGAAATCGAGATACGCCCTAACGTCAGAAGAGTGACGATTTGTGCACGACTTTATTTCCCTTAGTTTGACGCTGACACGTGGGATATTGAGAAAGTGACGCATTGATAGTTTCCCCCAGAAATAGAGTGTCAAATCTGTGGTGGATCCAGGGGGGAGGGGGCATGGTAGCACGGGCCCCCTCGGGCCAAAAAAGGAAAAAAGTGGAAAAGGGGGAGGAGAGGGAGAGAAAAAACAGTGCTTCTAAAAGCTTACTGAAATGGTTTTAAGATAAAACTATATTTTTTACTATGTCTGTAATGTTACCTACGTATATAATATACATTGTTTATTTGCACGCACTGCCTTCTTGTCAATTTTTTTACTAATACTCAACACCGCAGCAATAAATAATCTATGTATTCAAGTAACAATACGCTAAAAGAGGTATTTATCAGTTTTTATTTGTCAGGTATTTATCAGTTTTTATTTGTCAGGTATTTATCAGTTTTAAACTTTTAAATTATGCAAAAATCGTATACTAAAAATGCTTAAATTTCAATATGGGAGGGGCTATTTTTATGAAATTTTCTAAGGGAGGCCCCTCGGATCCCCCTTTCTGTGGGAATTGTCCTCCCCGAC